CGTGGAACAGAAGACTAAGTGGCGTGCGCTTCTTGAATGCAAAATGATTTTGGCCATTGTGATCGCCATTTGGCTATCCACTTCCACAATGGCCATACTGGAGCCGTGTTTGCCCATTTGGTTGATTCAATATCTGCATCCAAATAAATGGCAATTGGGCACAGTTTTCATACCGGACTCCGTGGGCTACTTTGTGGGCACCAACTTTTTTGGCAGCATCGCCTATCGCTATGGCCAGCTGAAGGTCTCCTGCGTCAGCCTGCTGTTGGTGGGCTTTGCCTCGATTCTGGTAGGTCGAGTAGAATTGGCTTCATTCTGGCTGATAAAATTTATCTGCTTTTTATGCAGATACCCAGTGCCACGACTGTTGCTCAACTACTGTTGCCCCACTTTGCCCTGGGCCTAGGCATTGGTGTGATCGATGCGGCCTTGGTTCCACTTCTGGCCACTTTTGTGGATGCCACGCTGGCGCAGGATGAGCTCGGCGAGACCAGCAGCTCAACGTCGAGCTACGGCACAGTCTATGCTATACAGCAGACCTCCGTGAGCCTAGCTTACTGCCTTGGTAAGACTTTGTTCATCCTCTGATGCTTTCTAGCAGTTTGCTTCATATTTGGCAGCTCCTTTAATTGGCGGCGAGCTGGCACAGAGCTTTGGCTTTGCCTGGCTTATGCGTATTGTGGGCATCTTCAATATTCTGTACGGTCCCATATTGGTTTATCTATATCAGAAATATGATCCGAAAGTAGGTGGTTCACATAATAATCCCAGGAAAGTGTTATTTTTCTCACATTTCGTATTTCTATGCATGCACAGCGCCTGAGGGAGCATCAAAACGATTTGCTCATGCAGAACAGTGGGCGTGGCTCGCGCTATAAGCAGCTCTACAATTCCATGGATCTCGAATAATTACTGCACTCACTTTAAGCTCAAGCAATATACATATGTCATCAACTAACTTACCAAATCTCCATGAAAAGCACAAACATTAAATCCCTATCCTTAAATGTCTTTTGATGTTACACGCAAAACTACTTGCCCTTGACATAAAGCTCATGTGGACACTAAACTAAATATGTGTGAGAGCCTCGGCTGCTCTCATAACACTTTTGAAATTCATTTGGCACACAGCTCAAAAGAGTTCAAAATTAGTCGAAAATTTTTTCTAATATTGCAATAAATTAAAGATACATGGCGCGTCGACCTCTAGGTAAGCGTTCTTTAGGCCCCTTGAAGTACCACAGCTAATGGCTTTCTAATCGACAGGCCCTGGTCCCGGCGCTTACGGGTTGCCCACAACCGTGGGTTATGAAAAGCATGATACCCGTAAGCAGCGCATGCCGCAATACTCCTTCGGAACGCGCACTCAAACGACGAGTGCCGATCCTGGACCAGGACCGGGCGCCTATCAGGTAGACAAATTGACGCGCTATGGAATGGGTGGCGGTTTGCAATATACCATTGCCCCCATGACAAAAATTATTGGTAAGTTAAGGGATCAAATAGTTATTCTTGCTGCTGAATTTGGGGTTCTGTTCTGCAGACAAAAGAATTGGCCCCGGCCCCGGCGCACACGATGTCCATTTAAAACCGTTCTTCAAAGGAGTCAATGCACCAGCTTATTCCTTGGGAGTGCGTAACAATTATAGTTTTAAGAAGTATGGACCCGGTCCGAGTGCATATAAGTATGAGGTCAATCCCATAAAGCCAGCCGCACCCGCCTATAGCATGTGGGTATTATCTACAATTTTTATACCGACTATGAACTAATTAATTTTCTTTTAATAGGGGTATACAAACCAGGATTAAGGGCAAGGAAATTTCGCCTGGTCCGGCTGCTTATGGTGCAGGCGATATGAATATCAGATTGAATCGCGCTCCCGAGTACTCAATGAGACCCATTTGCAATATGAGAAAAGATACCCTGGGTCCCGGTCCCAATTATTATGATTTGATGTACTATCGTCCTGGCAAGACTGGACAAGCCTATTCATTCGGTGTGCGCCATTCGCCTTATGCTCCACCCATGGTAGTTAGATGTGATAATATGTAGAATTGCAATATTAGAAAAAATTTTATGTAAATGAATCCTAGTAGTAATAAATTGTGAAATGTGCGTTGAATGTCATTTGTCATTTGTCGCTTGCAAACATCTATGATGAACTTATCTCAGTCGTGGTCTTGTATGTGGACCCGTCAGCGTAGGAGGTTTGCCCTATCCCAACCACATGTTGAAATTTTTCGGCTCAATTTTACAATGTGCGGATAAATTCTCAATTGGAATTCTTATGCACAAAGTCATGCAGTCATTTTTTAATTGCGATCTTTAGAAGAAGTCAATTTTTGCTATATGGCGGCTATATTATGCATAATATATTATATATTGGCAAAATATTTCGACTCTTGTTAGTGGAAGATTTCAGTTTCTCGCTCGCCTGCCCCTAAGTGGGCGTGGTGAAACGGACAGCCGCACGCACAGCAAGATGAATGCACAGAAACAAAATTCATGTTTTATTGTTTGATTCTTCATAAGTCCATACTTAAGCGTAGGGGCGTATCTGTAAGCATTGTTTCCGGAATTTTTTTTTTAAACAAGTTGGCCATGGCTTAAGTTTTATGAGAGCCCCAGCACAAGGTCTGGGCATGTCTGGATGTGATTCAGTTTACATTTGGGAACCGTACGGACAACTCGCAAGAGTTTCAAAATTCAAGCCTTTTTTTCTAATATTGCAATAGACAAACATGGCGCGTAGACCTTTAGGTGAGTGTGTCAGTCATTAAATGATACTATTTTATAATTTCCTTATGTACAGGTCCTGGTCCCGGCGCTTACGGGTTGCCCCCAACCGTGGGGTATGATAAGCATGACACCCGGAAACAGCGAATGCCACAATACTCCTTCGGGGCTCGTACCAACATGTTGGGTCCTGATCCGGGACCAGGACCAGGTGCCTATCAGGTAGATAAACTTACGCGCTATGGCCGAGGAGGGGGTTTTCAATACACCATGGGCCCCATGACAAAAATTATTGGTAAGTTGACGTGGAGTAAATAGTCAAACGTCCTAAACTCACTTCAATTGCAGACAAAAGAGTTGGTCCCGGTCCCGGCGCACACGATGTTCATAATAAGCCATTCTTCAAGGGGGTTTCTGCGCCAGCCTACTCACTGGGTAAACGGAATGACTTCAGTTTCAAGAAGTACGGACCTGGTCCGAGTGCCTACAAGTTCGAAGTCAGTCCCATAAAACCATCCGCTCCAGCCTATAGCATGTGGGTATTATGTTCGGATGTGTTGTTGGCCTTGGACTAATTGCATTTGTTTTAACAGGGGCATCCAAGCGAAATTAAATCGCAAGGCCGATTCACCTGGCCCGGCTGCATATGCTGCGGGAGATCTGAATCTTAAGCTATGTCGTGCGCCTCAGTATTCGATGAGGCCGATTTGTAATATGCGTAAAGAGAACGTTGGTCCCGGTCCTAATTATTATGATTTGATGTACTATCGTCCTGGAAGATCGGGGCGCGCCTACTCATTCGGTGTGCACCACTCGCCATATGCTCCACCAATGATTGTTAGATGTGATAATATGTAAATTTGCAATATTAGAAAAATGTCTTAGTAATAAAATACGAATTTATAATTAACTTGAATATTGTTTTATATCTGTATGATTTACCAGCTCCATACAGAGTAAGGTTCGCTATCTAGAGGTTTGTTGAATCTCGGGAGGGAATATACTTTATCATATACATATAGGTTGTCATAGAGTCTAGCCTTAACCCTTTGCGAATTGATGTGTAGGCCAAGCCAAAGGGCTTACCCAAAATCTACTGCATTTTTGGAACGACTGTTTTCGACTTATAATTTTTTTTCTGACTGCTTAGCTGGGCCCAGTTGGTACACGAGTTATTTGTTAACGGTATCGTTAGGGGAATCATATTTGGTACAAGAGGGCATTTGGGATCGAAAAAAAAGCAACCCTGGTGCATTCGAAATCTTCTGCCCATATATTTAGAGAAAAAAACAAAGCATGTCTTGTTTTAAATTTCATTTGTTTGTTATATTTTAATCATAATTTTATTTTATATCTAAGTATACACTTTTGTGAAAAATTTTTGTGAATGCAACAATACACAGCGAAATTTGTAAATACGTGCAAATCAGTATAACAACTATATTCTTGCACAAAGTGCACTTGCTTTTAAAGAAACGAGTAAGTATACGTTTTGATGGCATTTGAAATGTTGACGGCTAGCTGTGCGATATTTATAGTATTATGAAAATAATATGCATCATAGCCACAGTAGCATATGTACTAATTATGGTCGCCAGCTTAGTGTTACTACTTTTAATAGCGCTGCAGAACCTGCTTTCGAAATAGGTGTGTACTAAGCAAATATTGTTGACTTTGTTGGTTTATATATATAATTTTATTTATAGTAGACATGCCACAAACTGCATCCACAATACCGGGCACATAATAGGCGCGCATGAAAAATTAATTGTATCGAAAAATTATCGATTTACTAGCCATGCTTTCTACAAAAAAGGATTTGATGTTTGATATCTTGAGATTATTAAATCAAATTGATGTATATGGCATACATAAGATAGTAATATCCATACATATACATATGTATAGACAAACATTGATTCGTCGCTTTTAAAATAAAGTATATTTTGTGCCCTGTTATTGTTCTGTTAGTAATCAGCTGCTAAATTCAAATTCGATTTTTGTTTGGGGTCTTTCTTGCTGTAAGCAAGCTATCAGAGTAACTTTGCTTATTAAAACTTATTGTTTCGTAGTCTTGCCCCAAAATGTATCTATTTAAAATTGAAATTTAAATTTTGATTAAGCTCGAGAAACGGCCGACGGCGCATTTCTCTGGTAAATATGGGCGCTCTCTGTTAACAACAGTTCAGTAAAATGTTAAATGTGCTTCTGTACGAAATATTAGCATTGGGCCCAACTTAACTAGTTTTCAGATGTTGTATTTTTGGTTTTTTTTTTTTTTAAATAAGTTGGCAAAATTGTAACAAAATTCCGAAGTCGCCCCAGTGTAGACTTCAAATGTATTCATTAAGCAGTATTAGAAAGAAATCTGAACTATGCTAGACACCTCTCGCCCAGTACTCGGTTGTAAATAAATTCGATTGTGTAGAGTACGTGAAACAGCAATTACATACATTATTACTAGGAAGCACCACATCTTGCCGATAGGCGGCCCATGGTATGTACATAAATCCATTCAGGAACTCGGTTGCCTAATTGCTGCAGGCAATGTTGCTAGCTTATAAGAATGTGATTTGGGTTGCGAACTGAAATTTGCAAATAATCAAATATCGTGCATTTAATCAGTATTAAATGTGGCATTTTTCTTCTGATTTACACAGTTCACAATTGGTAATATGTTGAGTCAAGTCGCGGGTGCTGCCAATGCCGGCGGCACCCCATTGGAGGCTTCGGCGACACCACCGCCAGGAGCAGCAGTAGATATGGAGACTGAAACGTCACCAACAGTTGAATCGCGGCCATTTGTGGCAAGCGGTGCATCTAGTAATCGTAAAACGGCTGGCGGTGCTGCGGCGTCTAAGAGCTCGGACAATCGGGAGTTTCAGTTCTTTTTCGAGGATGAGGTATTTCGCATCGATCGCAAAGGGCGCGTACGTTTTGGAGTCGTCACTGGAACAGCCGAATCGTACTCTTCGGATGATGAGGAGGAGGAAGCTAACGAGGTGCTCAGCAAGGGCGAGGTGCGCGTCGCCTTCTATCCGGATGGCAAGGAAATTGTGAGAACTGAAAAATCGGTAAGTAGGTTGAGGTTATGTAATTGTCACTGCTGTATTCACATCAACATGTACATATGTACGAATACACATGTGTGTGTGTGTGTGTGAGTGTGCAGAACTGTAAATAACTGTTATTTCTGTTTAGACAACTGTTTTGCCTTTTTGGGCACATCAGCATTGACACGTGTTGTTTGTCATCTGTTTTTGTGCGTTATTTCTTCAACTCAAATTCTAACAATGTGAACATATTTCAGATTGGTCTCGTCGACCGCACGCTGATGCCAGGTGATGTGGTGCGACGCCGTCTACCAGGACAGAAACATATGTCTGGCCAGGCTGGCTATGTGCGCGATGTAAACGTTCGTGCAGACGTCAAAGTACTGGGCACCAAATACGTGATCAGGAATGTGCCCTCGGAGCGCTTAAAGCCGATTTCAGAATGGTCACGCGATGTGCCCGTATGTTTAGGGAATTGGATTGGATACACCATCAACGTAGATGAGTCTGCCGTGCTAAAGTGAGTAAGCAGCCGCAAATAGGGTGTGGTTTGCATTAAATAACTGATTTTCTTCGGTAGATCAAACTTTGGCACACTTCTTGAAATCACATCGAACGACTTTCACAAGTTCAGGGATGCTTACGGGCCCAGTGAGCGTGAAGTCTTTAGTCCCAGTGTATACTACCCAAATAATGTAGTCGTTGGACGTTTACCGCCGTTGGATCGCGTCACCAATTTAACCCCGGACATACCTTTACCAACCAATCGCAAGCGACGCTCTATGGTTAGTAGAACTATACATACATAGCGGTCTATCCGTTAGACTCTATTCTCTTCTATATGTTAGCTATAGATGAAAACTGTCCTTGTTTACTTTGTGACATTTTGTCTTTGTTTTTTAGTATACTGTCGAATCTGTCAAAACAACGGCGATAACTGTTGCTTGGACATTTAAGGCCACGCCACAGTTTGATAGTGGTAATGAATTGGATCCACTAAAGCAGCCAAAAAGGTGCATAAAGGGCGATGACTTGGCCAATGTTAAGCGCTTGAACATCTACGAATCTTATATGCTCCAAATTCACGATCGATTCTACCTCAAATATTCGAAATGTGATAAACTTATAAAATATTCCGTCTGGGAGCAGGAGCAGGGTATGTTAACTTAAATTCATTGATTGTTTTAATAACTGACAAGCATATCTTCAATCTGTTGTGCAGCCAAGTTATACCAGACCATTTTCCAACGTCAAAAGAGCGAGGAGAGTAAGCAAACGGCACAGAATGAGCTGTCGAAGCAAAACTCGACTGCGACTGCGACTGCGACTGGATTTGAGAACACGCCTTCGCCGTCGGCGCCATCCAGCTCTCGCAGTGCTCACATGTTCAAAGTGCGGCGTGTCACTGGTAAACCTAGCAATCAGCGACTGAATCGCTCTCTGGCCGAAAGCAACGATGCAAGTAATATGCCAATTAAGACGACCGCTTCAACTCACTCGACTGGTAAAAAGACACGGGCAAACAATGATGAGACCTGGGACACTGCGGATGATGAGGGCGATGAAGAGCCACTACAGGAAGCTCAGGACGTAATAGATACAATTGAAGTGACAGCCAATACTCCCGAGACAGAAGGTGGCACGAATTCGTTAAACTCCTTTGCCTCGCAAGCAGCCCGTATTGTTACACGGAATTTCAAACGCAGATCAAGCAAGAAAAAAGCACGACCAAGCAAAAAAACATCAATGCCAAGAAAAGAGAGCGATCCCAAAGATGGCGATGATATGGTTGTAGAAACTTTGGTTGTGTATAGTTCGTTAACGGTTGTGTGGCAGGATGGATCTGTGGAATCAGGCATACCATCAACGGATCTATATCCGATACACCATTTGGACAATCATGAGTTCTTCCCAGGAGATTTTGTTAGCAAGGCTAACGATTACAGTACCTCACAAATAGATTACGGGGTCATACAGTCGGTGGATCATGATGAACGCATAGCCAAAGTTAAATGGTTTAACATCTATGGCAATATGGATAATCCAGTGTAAGTAATTGACATCAAAATGAACTACTCATCAGTCAGCGAACATCAATTTTTTCAGTCCATCATGCAAGGATGTGGAGGAGCTTAGTGTTTACGATTTGAAAGATCATGCGGACTATCAGTACCGACCAGGCACGATGGTCATTCGAGTATCTAATTTCACGGGAGAGGACCTTAATTCTACGGCTGGCCAAGTGATTGACAACTTTCCCGATGGCCGTGTGCGTGTTTGGTGGGTCAACGGCCATATCACCATGTGCTATCCGCAGGATCTTTTTGAGATCCATCAGAGCGATACGCAGGATGCGTACGAGTCTGACGATTCGGAGAATTCATGGGAGACACAGTCGGAGAATAGTCAAACAATGAATATAAGCGCTAGCATCGCATCGATGGATGTAGAGGATCACATAATATCAGGAATTGATCGTGCCAAAGAAGCCATTCAGCGCCTGGAAAAAATCTTTCACGTGCTGCCAGAGCAGCGAAAGGCGGATGTTCTCAAAGATCTGCTGGCCGTATATAATAACTGCCGTTTTCTAGACCGTTTTCTAAAAACAGATTTCTTTCACGAAGATTACTTTACCGGCATTCTGTGCCGCAAGAAAAATCCCCAGTCCCAAAAGCAGACTGTTTCGCCGTCTGCAGCCAAAAGCAGTTCAAATACGCCTCAGTCCGCTGCGGACACATCTCAGCGCAATGTCGAGGCACAACTTTCTATACCGGATATAGCTTCACCAGTTGTTCGACAAGCAATTAAGTTGGAGATGCCATTGATAGGACAAGCAGCTTCAACATCTACGCCAAATAAACGCAAGTCCTCCACTCATGTTGACGAAGTTCAGTGCAAAAAGAATAGCAGCAGCGAAAAGATTAACGTTGAGGATTCCGCAGAGCAGTCGGTGCTTCTAGACAACATCTCACTGTCCGATAGCGAAACTCAGCTAACCTATAACGAGCTGATTACTAAGTATCGAAGCGAATATGCGGATATGATCAGAACAGCACGTGTCAGCATTACTAAGGCCTTCGAGAAGCATAAGAACAGTAAGGTAAGCATTCCAATATTAATGTACAGATTGAATCGTGCAAAGCTGTTAATTTAATTTGTTTTAAAGAATGACTCTGGAGTTCATTCGCGCGGCGAGAACAGCTCGAGCGAAATCACTTCCGGTTGCGATTCAAAAGATACTACCCAAGGCGAGAAAAAACAGTCTATTTTGAGGTCGTCTTCCAGTACCAGTATTGAGTTAGTGGCCAATCACGATGCGGACGTTTGTGAGGTTTTCTGTTTTTTGATTAAAGAACAAATGGCCAAGTGCCGCGAGGCAATCGTGGAAACCTTTGGCAGAAACAAAACTGACGACAAGGATGTGGATGAACACATAAGCGATGTGGATGTGGATGTTGATGAGGATGTCGATGTCGAGACGTCAGATCATGATATCCCGCCAGCATATGAGAAAGAGCAGGATCAGGTTATGGAGCAGCCCTTGAATCTCAATGGACTCTCTGAGTCATTGCCCCCGTTAGAAAGCCCAACCGCTTGCTCATCACCCTCGCCTTGGCAGGTTACCACGTCGAGCAATAATTGTTTTGAAGTAATGCCCAATGCTCCACTTGGTCATTATTTTATTGGAAATATTATACATCCGAACAACAAGGCACACTATCAGCGCGCCGTACAGCGCGAGTATGCTATGCTCCAGGCATCGCTACCTCCAGGCGTTGTTGTGCGTGCCTATGAGGATCGCATGGATCTCATATCTGTCATGATGGTGGGTCCCAAGCGCACACCTTACCAAAACGCTCTATTTTTCTTCGACTTCCAAATGGGCTGTGACTATCCCAAGAGTCCGCCCACGTGTCATTACATAAGCTTTTGTACGGAGCGCCTTAATCCCAATTTATATGAAGAGGGCAAGGTTTGCGTCTCGCTACTAGGCACCTGGTCAGGACGCGATACTGAGGTGTGGTCGCCTCAAAGCACAATGCTGCAGGTGCTGGTCTCTATACAGGGACTCATACTGGTCGATGAGCCCTACTATAATGAGGCCGGCTATGAAAAACAACGTGGTAGGTTAACAAATTAAATTAATTTTAGACCAACTTAGAATTATCTCATTGCAATCCACCTATTCTTAGGCACTCAGCTGGGCAATGAAAACTCACGCGTCTACAATGAGATGGCAATTATTAAAATAGTCCATTCAACGGTAAAACAATTGCAAAATCCCCCATTCATCTTTCGAAAGGAATTGATTGAGCACTTTAAGGAATTTGGTAGCGAGTTACATGGCCGCATGCAGGCTTGGTCTGAATATTCGGCCGACGCACAGCGACTAAAAATAACCAGCATTAATGGTTTGTTATATATTTTTTGACATTTAACATAATTTTAAGTGGATTGTCTCCCACAGACATGCCCAAAGACTATAAAACACCATGCGAGATGCCAGAGTTTCCATTGTTGCCCTGCAGTCGTGGCTTTTGCATTGCGGTCAAAGGTGTCTTGGAGGCGTTGCAGAACGAATTGACTGCACTGGAAAAGAAGCAGCAAAGTGAGTCGGCTGTTCCTGCAGCGGCCACAGCGCCGCGAGCTGCACCCGAGGATGTGTGATTGACGCGAATGTTCGCAATGCTCAATGTTTGTCAGCCTTGCCTTCGTTGTGGTGCCTATTATAAAAAACACAAGACTATCGCCGCCTGCTCTTGAAATTGAGCCCTTCACAGGGTTTATTTCTTATATATTTAAGTAATCACAGCTCGAATACTCTCTACCTTATTAACTTGGCTTATCAATCGGCTAACAAACTTTATAACCAAAAAAAAAAGATGATATTTTTCCTAAATTTGTCGCTTATTATTTGTAAAAACTTTTTATTTATTTAGTTAGTCCCCATTTCGTTTTATGTTAACACCAAGTTCATGCGTATACAAACAAATATTGCCTATAAAATATGTAATGTCTATAGAGCTAATAATTCCCAGCATTAGTTTTCTTTCTGTAAATAATCTAGTTGTTCTTCAATTGATTAAACTAGGAATTTTATGTATATTTCTTTATTGGCAAAAGTGTATCATACTATTTTTTTCAATTTTTTGTTTTTTTGCTTACATGAACTTTATTTATTTTGTATTTAATTTGTTGTGCGCTAGGTTAATAGCACTTGGATTTAAGCTGAACCGCAACTAGGAATCTGCATTCCACTTTAAGTAATGTAGTAAAAGCAGGCAATTGGTCACATCGCTTCTTTCATATTTAATAAGCTAGGAAATGCAAGATACTATGTGAATAATAAATTACCAATTTTATTTATTAAAGTTATCAATCGGATTAAATTTCTAATTTGCTCACTACCCAGTCGACATATTGTCCCACGCGCGTGTAAACACCTGGCCAGCCTTGCAGGCCGCAGGGCTTGGGACCATATGATGTGACGCCGGCCACAAAGAAAACTTCCTGCATGCCCACATGGGTAGGTACCATTAGTGGCCCGCCGGAATCACCTTGACAGGTATCAATATTTATCTTTCCGCCAGCGCATAATTGTGAACTATTCAGATGCATTTGGTAGGAGCGATATTTATCCTGGCAACTTTTAAGAGTCCACACATCCACCGTGATTTTGAGCTTCACATTGCTAGGCTTACCGTCCTCGGTAACACCCCAGCCCGCCACGTCCATGGCGTAGCCCTCAAAATCGTTGTTGCGCACATCGTCGCCAACCGGCAGGCAAATGGGCTTCACATATTCCGTATAGCGAACCGCTTGCTTGAGACGCAACAGTCCAATGTCGTGCATCTGATCAATGGAGTTTGGCACATATAGCTCATGCAAAATCCGCTGTTCAATCTCAATGTCCAAGTGCATGGGTGCACAAGTGCGTTGCTTATTGCCCACCTCGGTCACGCAGTCCGGAGCAGTGCTTATGTCCCATTCACCCAGACGCACACTAAACAATTGCCAGCCATGCATTTGCAACAGGCTGCTATTCAGGCAGTGACTGGCCGTCAGAACGTAGCGTGAGTTGATCAATGCTCCGCCGCAGTTAAAATCGAGCTCATCCTTGGCTGCCAGTTTGAAAGATAAATCAACCAGATGCTAATCAGGTAAGTGGCTAAAACTTACGCTTTTTATACTGCAGCAGCGCCATCCACGGAAACTCGAAGAGCTGCGTTTTAGTGCCGCCAATAATGCGATTCGAAAATAAAATACCGCAAGTGCCTATGCTAGGTAGCACATTGCTCGGATCGGGCTCGCCCCCAGAACGATTATCAATCGGTGTTCCAGTTGCAGTGTCTGCGCTCTGCATGCGGCGTTTGCTGTCCGGGCAGCACACCAGAATACGCTGCACCAAACCACTTTGACGGGTATTATCCAGGCCGCATTGGCTATCGGAGAGCAGTTGACGCTGCTCTGGCGTCGACTGGCTTATATTGAGTATCTCGTAGAGAAATGGACAGTCTCGTATGTGAATGCATAATCCGTGCTCCTTGGTGCCTTTGGTCTCGCAGCTGCCATAACTAAATTGCGCAGTGGCAGCAGCTAACGGAGATCAGCATTCAGATTATCAATCAATATCAATTAGCATTGCACTATTACAACAACCGGTAGAACCGGTTGAAGGTCAGAGGAGACTCAAGCTCGACTAACAAGGTAGCACAATTCCAGATAAATGATGTAACAACAAAAAGCCACACATCTTACCAGCAATGCCAATGGCGCCCAGTGCGCCCAGCAATATAAGCTGTAGTTTCATTGCCGCCAACATGAACATATATAACGTCCGACAGATTTTCCTGACTTGATCGTCGCGAGCTTCGCGTTGAGACTAAACTCGATTTCATACTGAAAGCTAGTTGATAGCTTTCAGGCGAATGCTACCCGTTATCTTCGCCAGTAAATCTACTTGATGTCAGGGGTGATCGATCGTTGAGCAGCTTGTACGGATTGCATTGCCCAGCGATCCACCTATTAAGGCCCCAGACAGCTGAACAAATCAGCTTCCATTCTATGCTTAACTCGGAGTTCATTGCACTTGGATGCCTCCTTTGAAAGCTCATCGAGCTTCTCTCTTCAATCGGTGTATTGGATTGGGTAACAGGAGAGCTAATAGTCTCCCAATGCGCCCAGCAATATCAGCTGCAGCTTCATTGCCGCCAACATAAACAGATAACGTCCAAAAGATAAGCGTGAACCGATCGTCGCAAGCTTTGCGTTAAGAAAATCATGGTTCCGTCAATGTATCTCCTAGAGGTCCGGATGATTGATTGTTGCCCAGCAACCCACCCATTAAGAGGCCACACAACTGAACAAGTCTGTTTCCATTCTGTGCTTTACTCAGAATTCGTTGCACTTGCAAACGAAGCCAACTTATAATCAAATGATTAAAGCTAACGCCAAGAACAAAAATATTAATGTGATTTGGCATTGTTTAACCGGTTGTTGATTTTATGATTATACAAGTATGTTTATGGGTATGCGCGTGTGTATGTGTTTATAGCTTTATAATGGAAAAGAAACTAAATCTTGTTGCTGTTGTTGGCATAGTTGTAGACCTGCTGGAAACCTTCACCATCATCTCCCTCGCCATCGTCCGAATCATCTGAGTCGAATGTATTATCGGGTATATCATACAAACGTATAATCGGCTTGTTGGGATCCTTCATGATCAGATATTTGCCATCCTTCTGCTTCATCACCAAGTCAATGATACACCGCAATATGCCCCAGGCGTTATCCATGCTCAGATTGATCTGCGTGGCAAACTCGTGCGGCTTAAACTGCTGCGTGCCCAGAATAACGTGACGCGAATGATCACGTGGATTAATACGCGATACATAGCCCAGTTTTAGCTGATCAGAACCAGCCAGCACAGCTTGTACCGTCCATTTGGCCAGTTTGCAAGCATTGTTTCTCAGCTCGTTGGCCAACACGGCGCCGCGCTGTGTATCCAGCTTCTGGCGCCATTCAACGCCGTTGGCCAGCTTCGAATCCCATTCGTTTAATGCTTTGATGGACAAGAACTGCGGTTCTCCACTGGGCGTTTGTAGCACACCATCATGTTCGCAACGCGCCACCAGAACCTGCCAAATATTTCCAATTAGTTAAAAGTTACGCAAATAAGGGATGTGCTTACAATATCGCTGCCCAGTTCCCATTTCTTGTAGCGATAGCCAACACTGGCCACCTGTATGTCCTCGTCTTCGCTAATGAAGGGATTGGTTTCCTCAAACTTGTATTTGGCCTCCTGGTCGCCGGTTTTGAGCACTTGCTGGCTAAAGTTATGATTTATGAAGGTGGCCTCAATGGCCAGATTACGCGGCGAATTGCACGAGCTATCGTCGTCAGTGGGCGGTTCAACGCTAGTCTCATTCACAGTCAGCAAATCGAATTCCGTATGATCGCGCTTGTCCATGAAGATTTTCTCGCCTGTCGATAAAACAAAAGCATGGTTAGTAGAGTCACTTTAGTTTTATGCTTGAGATCCCTTACCAACTTTTTCGATGACAATATCCCACGAGTAGTTGGAGCGTGTCGAGCACATAATAGTAGCCAGAATGGCATCCGTGGCAAACACGTTACCAATCGTCTTGGACAGACGACGTATGACCGGATCATCAGTGGTGGTTACAGTGTGCACAATGCGATCAATCTTCTGCAGCGGCTTCTCGTTCTTCACATTGATGCGGTCGTATGTCTTATCATAGTACTCCAGGGTGCCGCAAGTGGTAATATCCTCGCCATCCTTGATGTTCGGCAGCGATAGCTTAATGAGACGCGGGAAGTCCATCTCTTCAATGGAGGCCCAGTCGGCTCGCACAGCCACCGAGGACTCTCGCATCTTTGGTGGCGGACCGCGATTACCAAATCGCTTGCCCATGCCGCGTCGCGGATCGCGTGCCTTAACATTCTTACTGCTCAGTGTGGTCATGCCATGACCGTGCGTATTGAGTCCACCGCGTGCATTGCGGCCACGTCCTGAACGCGAATTACGCATGTTGCGGAAGCGTCCACGTTGATGCGGTGGCTTCTGGACGCGTGCCGTATCCACCAGATGGAACGTTGTCTCATCCTCCTCATGGTAATAGGCATATTGGTTGCCGGTGCCAAAGGTAGAAGCATATTTATCTAAAAACAAAAGTTTAATCTCCAGTTTATTGCCACGACACACACACAAACAAAGCGCAGACATGCGAACATAACCTCACTTTGTGCATATGCAAAATAACACTTTGGCTTTAACTTACTTTGATACTTCTTGTCATTGTTAGAGGTGCTTGTCCAGTCGCAGATCTTGCCCAGGCGATCGTTCTTGCTGAACGGCTGGTAAGGCACATCCTTAAACGTGTCTGGCAGCTCGCATGGTCCCCAGCCCTTTTCGTTGAACTGGACGGTCGGTTTCTCGAACGTCGGAAACTGGGCCGCCGTGTTTATAGTTTCGCTCATTTCACGCCTGTTGCTAGTTAATTTTTTTTTATTTAAAAATTATTCGCAATTAAACGCTCGAAACAATTAATATGCCAGTGTGGAAAAAAAAACTATATGACCAGCTCGCGAATTTGGTGCGAAGGAGAGAGCGACAGTCGGCGCGATAGCTCTTAGAGATGTGCGATAAATACAAAGCAGTCACTGCTACTTTGCAAAAGTATTTGAACGTACCTAGTTACAGCTGTTAAAGCACATTAAATCGTGATATATTATTTACGTTATTATTAATTACATTCAAATTTTACATTCTCGGTTAAGTCCAAAATACAACAAGAACGAACATAAGGAATCAGTTTTTTAAATGTTTGTTATAGTAAAAAAAACTTAACTAGTAGGATGATAAAGAATGCCGAACAGCACAACCATAATTATATCTTCAAAATGCCTATAAAGATCTAACTAATTTCGGATACTAGATATGCCAATTTGCAAGTCAGCCCCTTAAGCATGCTGACACTTCAATTCTTTAGAGCCTTATAAAAGCAACCAGGACATTTGTTCAAGCTAACAGTCGTACAATACAAATGTGGAAAAACCAGCAATCCGTACTCGACTGGCCCAGGGCAGAGCAACTAGCTAGCTTCTGGTTGCACTTGAAAGGTGAGCTTGGATTCAGGACACTTCTGTACTTCAAGGCGGCAAAATGTCGCTGTTGGATTGAAAAACTATTGGACGAGGGAAACATGACGACTACCACCTTGGTATGGAACAACGTGTCGAATGCACCATATCTAAGGTTGAAGCAGAATGTTGATATTCTGGGCCTGATTTGCTTGGACTCGGATTTATTTGAACCCGTATTGATCACGCTAAGTACAATGCTGAACCATATGAGGGAGGTTCCCCTGCTGCTGCAGATTTGCACAGCGGATTCGGATCAAACAATGATGCTGCAAATAGGCCGACAGATTCTTAAGCGTTGCCAGGACTTGCTAATGCCGAATGTTCTGCTCCTATTGAAAGATTTCTTTAACACTGACTTGATTTATGCCTATCAAATGTTTCCCAAATTCCGGCTGCTGTCGCAGGTCTACCATGCCAGCCTGCAGCTATATCCCTACAAACTGGCCAACCTACACGGCCAGGTGATAAGGACACGGACGGATCTAACGCAGCCCTATTTGTTTGTTTACACTGATCGCAACGGAAAATTAATAACTACCGGAGTGCTCTGGCGTTTTATGAAGGGGTTTGCACGCTACTTGAACGCCACTCTTGAGTTGAGATATGATGCCAATTCGAGCCAGTCTGTGCGGGGCAGCTACTTTAAATTATTGCCGCACATTCAAAATGGAACAGCCGACGTTACCACCAGCCTTTTCCCACTCACCTATTCTTCGAGTAGCAACCTGAATATTTTCAGTTATCCGGTTATCATCAACAGCTGGTGCACTATGTTGCCCGTGGAGCGTGTGGTCAGTCCGCGTGAGGCTATGACCGGCGTGTTGGAGTCGCCCTGGATGTGGGTATATCTGGGCATTGTCTATTGCTTGATTCGCCATCTAAATGAACGACGTATGCCCGGCAGGCCGATCTTGATACTGCTCCCGTCACTGATTCAACTGACTCTGCTCTGCACCGTGGTGGCGCAACTGTCTGCGCTGTTTATTGATCCGCAGAGACTTCGTTTGATTTCCAATTGGGAGCAGTTAAACGCATCCGGATTAAGGATTATCGGAGCACGTGCTGAATTCAATCAATATCCAGACGAAATACGAATCAAATACGCATCATCATTCATATCCTTCGAAAACTATACACAATTTGTATATCAACGTAATAGCTTGAACTCTTCATTTGGTTATACAATTTATGAAATTAAGTGGAACAATATTGCCGAACTGCAAAAGTTCTTTAAACGACCAATTTTTCGCTACTCCACCGAGCTTTGTGTGCGACAAGTTTCGCATAATTCGGTTATTTTTCAAGAAAACTTTTTGTACCGCCATCAACTAGATTTATATACACTTAGGTTGCGGCAGAGCGGCATCCTTAGGTTTTTGATAGACAAACATTTTGTCGATATGCTAAACGCGGGCTATTTCAAACTGCAGGACCTAAGCAGCCAAGTTGTAGTGAAGCCCCTAAAGCTCGCTGAGATGGACTTCATCGTGGTGTTATATGGTTATGCAATGGCTATATCCCTATTGATATTTGTATTTGAGTTGATTGTGTTCTACATCAATGTTTGCATGCACATTTTGTAAAAGTCATTACTCAAAGTTATGCCATTAATACAAACTAGATGCGTGTGGTCGACGGTTGAATACACTATAGCACCCACTCAAGGTTAATATGTAGGTCAACAAATAAACTCGAAACTCTATTGAAAGCAAACAAATAAAATGAAGTAATCATTTCATAAATTCAAAATTCAAAAATTGACTTGTCAATATGAATGGAATAAAGAACATACCCAAATAGTAAGGGTATTCTGTGGGTTAGCTTTTGTAGCATTTGCCATGCCAGCCTGGTCAGTCGTTTTAGAGCCCTCAACCATGAACGATAGTGTTGAAATCTACGCTGAGCTACTTTCAGCCATTGTACGCTTGAACAGCTTTAGCTCAATAGTCTATTTGGATCCTGAGTATGGAAAGGAGCGCTGCCATTTGGAGAATGGGCTATCAGTGATAGGAAAGGGCATTCCTTTGCTATGGTGGCGCTCAATTGATGAACTCAAGCTGAGCAGCTTCATCAATGGCCAACTTCTGGTTGTGGCCTGCTTACCTGGCGTATATCGCCTGGATTTGCTGAACACAATTTCGAGCACATTGCGATATATGCGCCAGACCAAACTGCTCATAGAATTGATCACCAATGAGGATGTGCCGCTGGTCAAGCGAGTGCTACAATTTTGTCTACAAAATCAGATGCTGAATGCTGCCTTAATCTCTGGAAGCTTCGTGCATACGCACACGCTGTATATCTACGATGCATATCCAAGTTTCTTGCTGAAGCGTCAACAATTTACGCAGGACCCTTTCAATTTGTATGCTGATAAAATGCTGGACTTGCATGGTTATCGGATTCGCACAATGCCGGATCTGTCCGAGCCCAACACCATACTCTATCGCGATAAGCTAGGCAATGCTCGACTGCTTGGCTACGTTTGGAACATGCTGGAGGAATTCGCACGCAAACACAATGCCAGCTTGCAACTAATCGATGTGGTCCGAGAGGATAAGTTCTTGAGTCACATTCAAGTATTGGATCTGGCACGTGATAACTTGCTGGATATAGCGGCCAGCGTGCAGCCATTAACGCTGCGCCACCTGGATCGCTATCATGAGTACGCATATCCGGCATATATGGCCAGCTGGTGCACAATGCTGCCCAAGGAGCCGCTGTTGGGTCTGCGAGAGATATACACATGGATGTTGCCTGCTGTTACCTTGTGTTTTCTGGCCGTGCTCTGGGCGCTCCATGAGCTTCTGCTAGATCGCTACCATCGACATAGACGTCTGCTTGGCATAGGCTGGAAGCTTTTGGCCATTATGCTGGCCTGCAACGTCCATGGCAGGCTGGTTACCCTGTTTGTGGCACCACCCGCAAAGCCGCCGATTCACAGCTTTGACGCACTCTCCAAATCGCATGTGCGCATCTTTGGAATGCGCTCCGAACACAACTTGTATGACTTTGATCTGCGCACGAGATATGCGCAAGCGTTTTACCTCAGCGACAAGGTGGCGGAGCTTTTGTGGCTGCGAAACTCCCTGAATACCAGCTACGCCTATACCGTAACGCACACCAAGTGGCAGCTGTACGCGGAGCAGCAGGCGTATAGTTCGAGGCCATTGTTTTACTACTCGAAGAACTTTTGCTTCTATCAGTATGTGCCGTTCGCTTTGGTCATTCCGGAGAACTCGCCGCATCGTGCTACACTTCATCATTTCCTACTGCAGCTGAGTCAATCGGGCTTGTACATGCATTGGGTGGCCAGGAGCTTCTACTACATGGTACAAGCGGGCAAACTGCAGATTCGGGACCTGGGCCAGGCACGTCATGTCCGCTCGTTAGTGACAGAGGACCTGCACAATGTGCTGCAAGGTTACGTAGTTGGTGTGCTAATTAGCTTGACCTTATTTGCCTGCGAGCTGATTATAAGTCGGGCAAGGTATTGGCTGGACATTTAATTAGTCATTAAAACAAATTGGATGCTCAATTATAGTTTAGTTGGAAGCAATGTCGATTATAAGTACTTTCAATTCTTGCGTATTTCTCTATAAATAAATATGTCACGCATGGACTCAAAAGGAACGTAGCTGTAAGCAAACGCTTATTGCTAAAACATACAAAACAAAACGTGGCTAATAAAAACCTACTACAGCTTTGTGTGGAAACTTATTAGTTTTTAATTCATAACATTTTTGTATTTTTGCGCCCAACTATAACACTGCTTTAAAATTAGATTTATGGTAAGTTAGTTAACAGACATTCTTTGCAGTTCTGTTAATTGAAGATCTGTTAAGTGAACTCGCTGAACTTGTTCTTCTGAGCTGTTATGAGCCGAATTTGCTCTGTTTGCTCAATTAATCGAATTCGATCAGTTATTGTATTGTGTAAACAAATAATGTTGTCAATTGCTTATTATAAATTCATGATTTCTCAAAAGAGCAATCAACCCAATATTAATGATACATGAAAAGTGAATATATTTTTGGTAACTTAGTTTATCGACAGTTTGATCAGCGTACCATCCGTCAGGGCTGATGTTGCCCACCTGTGGCATTTGTTTTTGTTGACATGGGTAAAAGAAAGTTGTTGGGCAAACGTCCAATGGCCTATATAGCTGGCCAAAGGTAAGTTTAATTTGTAAGCCGTCAACGCATTCGAAATAATTATTTTTTGTTTGTTTGCAGTCTAATGCATGGCCAGCGCAATGAATTTTCGCGCTTGTTTAGCCATTGCAAGCGTCTTTGTTGGCTGCTGCTGTGGTGTTGTGTTTCTGGAGCTGCTCGTTAAATTGGATCCAGGTGCGGGTAATCTAATTACCGCTGCCCAGTTTGCATTTATTGCTCTGGAAGGATTCGTATTCACATCGAAATTTGGTCGAGCGAAACGTGTGATAAGTCTGCGGGACTATGCCCTGCTTGTGGTCATGTTCTTTGTGACCAGCGTGTGCAATAACTATGTTTTCCACTTAAATGTGCCGATGACGCTGCACATGATTATACGCGGAGGCAGTCTGATTTCGAACATGTGCCTGGGCACCATAATACTCAAACGGCAGTATCGGGTCAAGCAATATATATCCGTTATCATGATTACCCTCGGCATATTCATCTGCACCTACTTCTCTAGCCGCGATGTGGACATCGCTAAAGGGCATGGAACACACTCTGAGACAAACATATTTTGGTGGCTAGTAGGCGTGCTGCTGCTTGTGCTGGCACTCTTCATTTCCTCTTACATGGGCATCACCCAAGAGTTGTTGTATCGTCGACATGGCAAGTGCGCCCGCGAGGCACTCTATTACACACATCTGCTGCCGCTGCCCGCCTTTTTGTTGATGCACGACAACATCAAAGCGCATTGGACTTTGGCCCTAGAAAGTGAACCCTACAAATTTGCTTGGCTGGGAAATGTGGCTGTGCCGCTGCTGCTGCTTTATTTGCTCGGTAATGTACTGATGCAGCATTTGTGCATTAGCTCTGTATATTTTCTGACCACCGAGTGCAGCTCCCTTACCGTCACATTGATCTTGACCTTACGTAAATTCGTATCTTTAGTATTCTCAATTGTATACTTCCGTAATCCGTTTACAATTTATCACTGGTTGGGCACTGTGCTCGTGTTTCTTGGAACTTTAATGTTTGCCAATGTACTCAGTCCAGTTTCCTTGGGTATGTTGAGACGAAAAGCTGTGAAAAATGATTAGACATTCCATTTTACAACCGAACAAAATAAAAGTAGTTACAAATTTGAACAAATTACGATTTATTCTTTACATTTAAGTACAATACAAGTATATACGAAATAAAAGATCAGATTCTCATAGATCTTAAGAAAAAGGACATTAAAAGTAAAAAAATGTACACTGGGTTCTACTAGCTTTTGTAAGGTCGACCAAATGGGCGACCACGAAACAGTTTGATCAAGCGCTATAAAGGTTTCTTTGGCTTTGACTTGACATGACACTCGACATAAATACTAAAATATACACATAAATATATAAATGCACTGGTTGCCCCATGCTAAAAATTAAAAGCTCCACTTTTGTTTGCAAAATGTAATACTGCTGCAGCTGTAGCCACGTGCTGATGGATGTGTGGATTTGTGTCTATGTGGCCAGCGTGCCTGCCTCACGCTGCAGCCATTTGACAATCGTCTTGTAATTGCGATTCATCCAGTCAACGCTGATTTCCACCTGTTCCACAATCTGCTGAATGGGCCTGTCGTAAGCCCAGTTCGCATCGCGTACAAATGCCTCCAGCTCGGCCAGCTGGAATTTTGTGTTCATGCGCTTGGTAACAAACTTGAGCAGCGTGTGAATGTTGGATATCTGTGAGCCCATGCTATAATTACAAAATAAAAATTAGCTAAAGCAATGGCCAAGCCATTCTGGAAAGCTTACTAAATGTTTATCTCCTGCCAGTTGTTGCGCAGATAATCGAAGGCAATCTGCTGACCCACCACCGTGTTGGACACGGCTGCAAAAACCCGGAATACATCCTGCTTACGTATGTCCTGACCGGCAATGGCGCGCCGCAGATACCTATATAGCAGCCAAGGTTCCTTTGAGCAGCCCAGTGCATTCAGTAGCAGCTCCTTCTCGGCTGGCACATTCGACTTCAAATAGCGCTTGAAGGCAAAGTCCCACTCGTACTCCGTGCCATACTGTATGGCCGAGCAATATTCAATGCCACGCATATTTGGACTAATGCTGGCATTTAATATATAAGATTTTAATCGACAACAGCTAACACTTGCCAACTTACGGATTATGAGCATCGGGATTGGGAGTTTCAATCCAGTTTTGGAATTGCTTCGTGCTCTCCGAGATGCATTTCCGGTGGCCCAGATGACAGGCCATGCTAAATATTTCGGAGCGCTTTAACAAGAGCGGAACATCTTCCTCACCGCGAGGTGTTTCAGTAAACATCACCTCGTACTGCACCTTGCGCAGCAGCTTCAACAGATAGTCCTAGAAGCAGAGAATAGAATGTCAGCCCAAGAGGATGTTGCGACCTTAACAGTCAATATTGCGCCTACCTTAAGCAAATCGTAATCCCCAGAGTTGACAAACATGGAATCGATAAAGTTGAAATTGGTAATGGCCGCCTTCCAGGGCACATGATTAGTCTCGTATGCCAAATAACGCGTAAGATTCATGGCGGTGTCATATGACAGATAGGAGCCGCGCGCCAAATTCATCACATCATCGATTAGCTGGGCACGATTGGCGGGCGCAATTTCTAGATGGTTTTTTGCATGCATTAGATGTTGGGTCACCGCACGCCAGTTGTCCAGATCATAGTTGACGCGGTAATAGCCCGTTTGCTGTATATTGAATATAAACCATTTGGCTGTGGAGAGATTGCGGTTTTCCAGCTCGTAAGTTTTGGTGCGCGGCATCCAAGTGGTGGGTCGTGTGTTCTCAAAGTTAAGCTCGTCTGCAGTGGTATATGTGAGCGGTATCCACCAGAGCGGATGGTCGTCCGTTTTGCTTCTATTGCCATAAACAAAACGAACCTGCTCCAGGCGCACGGCGTCCGAATTGGGATGACGCGAGATCTTGACCACTGGATAGCCAGCTTGCAGTGTCCAGGTGTCCATGATAGCCTTGACGCTGGTGCTGCTGTCTAACAGGCCCGTAGTTTTTGCCTCGTCAGTCAGAAAGCCCCAGAGATCGTCCTGCGTGGCAGACTTATATGCCATTTTCTGCAAATACTTGCTGAGTCCACCGCGAAAGACGGTATCGGTCAGAAAGTGGCTCATCATGCGTATTACTGTGGAGCCCTTGGCATACGAAATGCGATCAAACAATTGGAATATCTCCTGCGGATTGCCGACCTCCTGCGAGATCTTGTGCGTTGTCGCCAGGGCATCCAATTGGAATACAGTCTGCAGCTCATTGACTACAAACTCATCGAGCAGCTTCCATTCGGGCGCCACAGCATTCGCGGTCAGATACTCCATATAGCTGGCAAAGCCCTCATTTAGCCAAATATCCGACCACCAGCTGGGCGTGACCAGATTACCGAACCACTGGTGGGCCAACTCGTGTCCAACCACGGAGGCAACGCGCTGCTTGTTGCTGGCTGTGGCCACGCCTTTATCGTACAGCATCGCCGTCTCCCGGAATGTGATGAGGCCCCAGTTCTCCATAGCTCCAGCCTGAAACTCGGGCAGCGCTATCATGTCGATCTTCGGCAAAGGAAAGGCAACACCGAAATAGGTCTGCAGAAAATCAAGGATCTTGGGACCCACGCTCAGCGCATACTCGGCGGTTTGAATGGCATCAGCACGGGCCCAGACAGAAAAATTGCCAGACGACATGTGCGAAAAATCAGATATGGCATAGGCCACCAGATACGTGGACATGGGGAGCGATTCCGCGAAGTGATCCCACACATAACCGGGTAACGATTCGCTGTATAATTAACGTGTTAATTGGATTACATTTGTCCCCTTATATTATTCTAACGAATTAAGTATTCTTACTGCTTATTGCTCCTGACAATGGGCATATTGGAGATGGTTGTCATGTTCAGCGGGCGTGCTATGTGCAGCGTAAAATTCGCCTTAAGTGCCGGCTCATCGAAACAGGGAAACGCGCGGCGGGCGTCCGTTGCCTGAAACTGTGTGGAAGCCACCCACCTGTGAGTCATAAAATATAAAAACACACAAGTCTTAGCCAGAGAATATGACCGAATTGATGCCACGCCAGCTCACCTGGTCTCATTGAGCATCTTGTAGGAGCTGCGATAGAAGCCCTGCAAGTAGTCCTTTATAATGCCCGAAAAGCGTATGTGCACCACATATTCGGAGTCTCGATGCAATTTATCGTACAGCTGAATGACAAAGAACTGCTTGGCGCCGATCAGGTACTGCTTATGGATGCGTAGACTGTCCGACTTCCACTCGTCCTTGCCGCTGGGCAGCGCACGATAGACGGCCACATCGTTGCGCGTTATGTTCAGATCCTCGGTGTGCATGGTTATGTTGTAGCAATCCTCGAGCACACGCACGCGTATCTGTACGCTGCCGATGAAGCTGAAATTGCCGCTCATCTGCGGCTCCAGTGTGATATTGTACTTGAGCGGCTGTATGGAGCGGGGCAGGCGAACATCCTGATCGTATTTGGGTCCATCGTTGGCGTCATGCGCATGCTTTGAGTTGCGCAAATGAACGCTGGTGCAAACAATATCATCGCCGCTTGCGGGCTCCAGATCGCCGCAAGTCGCAAAATTATACACAATAAAGCCAACGGCGAGTATTGTGCAAGCGAAGAAGGATGCCAACAGGACCGCCGTCGTCAGGGACACGGTATACCGTCGGCTCATGCGGGAGCAACTGGCTCCTGCTGTGGGTCCGCTGCTGCCAGCGGAAGTGCCCAGGGAATTGGCATGCCGGCTCTCCATGCTCAGATTCTCGTGCAGTGGCATTTCCTTGACGACCATGTCGCTGCTTTAACCTGTGCACAGGAACAACTTATCGATTAGTATCTGTGGAGTGCACACCACTTCCGTTTGCACTTCCGCTGCGATTTGCACAGCCTAATTGATAGCTGGTCGTGGTCGTAATGCATTCAGTAATTCGATATACATCTGCAGGTTGAAAGTGGCACGTTATTTTGCAATCTGAATCCCAGCCATGGCCACTTCAATGGTTTCCTACAACCCCCTGGACGGGACGTGCGGCAGAGTCTTGCAACGTTGATCAAATCGTGCGAATATGCACGTTTATTGTGGTCAGGACAAGGGGTTGCACATGATATTAGTTCAAAATATACATGCATAATTATATAATTTACCCCTTAAGAGATCTAGCCGACTAAGTATCTCAAATATCTTGCCCCAAACATGATTTACTTATTTCATTTATTACTCAAATCAAGCCTTTTCCCTCTTAAGGAATATTTCATTAAAGAATATTCCAAAAATTATTTTAAATATTTGTATTTAGAACGAACTTATTCCGCAAGTGTTTATTAAGTTTGTTCATCCATAAGATATAATCTCATGCGAAACGTTGTAAATGTATATATATAAGTAACCCCCTCGAGAGGCTAATTTATGTGTCATATAACGACTTAATACCTGTTTTGCTTAGTCGACGATCTATGCACTTAATACGTCAGAGCACTAGAAATATTGTGCAAGTTGAGAATATTTTTATTATTCTCGATTCTTTTGAAATTCCCATTTTGGTGTCAACAGTACGTTTTTGTTTAATTACATGTTAATTCCCAATGATAAATTCCAATAGTTCCGAGTAATTAGCAGCTGGTTTAACCAATCCCATCGTGTAGCCCCGATCCAATGCGTAAAATAGTGTGAATTTTATATTAAACTTATGGTAAGGGTCAGTGTCCTCCAGTCTATGGCCCCATAATCTGTGGCTATGGTTATCAAGAAGTCATGGTCAATCCACATCGAAATATGTGTATTTATTAATTAATTGCTAGTGTTTATGCGTTTTTATAAAAAGATTAGTCCCAATGATTGTCAAGCTGTGCTTCATAATGAGACATTAGAGACAACAATCAGTAATATATTATTTAATACGTAAGTAATGTAAGCAAGCAAATGCTGTTATTCCTCATTCTCAATAGACAAGAGCGTCATAATGATCTCATGACTAGATTCTATAAGTTCAGTATTTTCATTAGTTATATGAGCCCAATTCATCAGAGCATTGGCTTAGACCATTAACTAGATAACCTATTATTAAAGTATTATCTGAGAAAAAACAGATATTCTGTTACCAAATAGATCTGTTTGCACATATGTATGCATTTAATATTTTTATTTTTATTCAATCTTTCAATAATAAATTTCCTAGAAAATGATTTATGTATATGGTTTTTCCAGTCATCAAACCCTTCTGATATTGTAATTTTGCTCATATTAACTAAGCGGCGGCAAACGTTAATCATCAGCTTATAATTCAATTTTTATAGCTGGCAAAATGTCAATTAAAAATACAGTGAAATACAACAAGGTACATGAAATGTTTGCGGCGATAATCGGCTTTCGTACAGAATGTTAACATGTTCCACTCATTTGCATATGCATATCTGAATATACACGAGCAAGTGTGCCCGAATGCCGGCTAATTGAGTTTTGACATTAATTTGATCTGCGGGCTGCTGCAAATTGCCACAATTAAACGCTGGCCACTCTGGCCGCTTTGCCGACACTTTGACCTTCATTAAAAAAAAAAAACGAAAGAGAAACAACTGAGATGTTACGACGCCCTCGCATGTAGCTCATATGTCTACGCTTTCCCGATGGGGGTCAGTGGTCCCACTGCGAGGGTTCAGTTTATAGCAATATTTTATTGACCAAGTGCGTAAACCCGATGATGATTATGATGATGGCGCTGTCTGGCTGGTTGAATAATTATTAACACACAAGGACATACACACATATGGATGTGTATGTCACATTACAGTGAATGCTTCCTTGAGCGGATATTATATATAGAAAAAGTTGACTTGCCTCTAGCAGCGTTTAGATAAATACATATACCATAAGTGGTTATGTCCAAGAAAAAAGAATTTTCAAACAAAATAACTGTTCAAGAGAGCCGTTCGTTAGCAGAGCGTTTACTGTATCATCAGCATGATTGAAACATCAAAACACATTTAATCGTTGGCTTCCCCGCGGCGCTGCTTTTAATCTGTTGCTATCTGTGGCACTCTCACGCGTTTAAGAGGCGCACACACGAGACTATAAAAAGTGTATTTATTGCACTTTGGTTGATGATTATGATCATAATGATGTTGAAAGGGGGCGGGGCGCTGTTTGCGTGGCGTCCATCTGTCTCCGGTCTCTCTCTTCACCCATACATACATGCACTCATATTTGCGCGCTACAAATGAAGAAGTGATCACGGACTGGACAGGCCAATTTGCACTTGTGCACTAATTAAATTTCGGCAACAGTGTATTCAGAAATCACAAAATTAAACAGATTATTTATTTCTAGAAAATGTTTATCAAGTTTTTATGAGTTCGATCTTATGAATGGCTATAAAAATAAAGAAACTAGTACCTAATCAAAGAATTGTTGGTATTTTATTTATTAATCCTGCGTGAGCTGCCATAAATGATGAGCACACATTCACACATATGTACATGCATACACACACATACATATATACATATGTAGTTGTAGATATCAAGTTATAAAGCCGGCAGCGAGTGGCCCATTTGTGTTTATGTTTAACAGATGCAAAATGCTGACTGAGGCTGGAGATGTGCGCGAAACACATCAACAGCTAATATGGAAATTGTATACAAAATAAACAAATTGGAAATGTGCAGAAATAAAAATGATATTAAATGAAGTGTTGATAAGTTCACGGCTTATACGTTGTATGTACACATTTATATATATATACATATATTTATATAATTATATATGCATATATATTATGCATACATCTACTTGTCTTTACGTAGAGACCCACTATTTCTGTTGCAGAATGTTTGTATATGGATCACAAAATCCATTTCAAATAAAAATATCAATAAAATAACGCTGGATTTGAGTTTTACCTCTTCTGCTGCCTGCGCTGGCGCTGCTCTCCTTACACTCCCACTGATTCTACAAGTTTACAGTTATGTGCAGTTTGTGTTATGCTTTGGCGGCGTAACTGCAATCGAGTATGACAATAAATACTCCCACACACTTGCACACACACTGTCAAGCAGTAGCCAGTGGTCGTCACCAACACAATTGCAAACTTAAAATTGCCTAGATTTTTAGCGGTCAAGGCTATAATTTCACAGACGCACGTTGTCAATTGAATTAAAGTAAACAAAATTTTTTTCCAGGAAGATGGATTGGATTTCTGCGCTGACGTTGTTGGCTTATATACATAAATGCAATTTGTCCAAGTATCACATCAGCCAGCGAGCAGCGACAGCACGAAAGTCAACACAACCGTTACGCGTAACGACCGACCGAGAACTGAAAGCGCAACAGCAGCCACAGCATAATTGTAGCCAGCGTACGTGTAGATCGAAATGGAAACAAGAGAGTAAGAGAGTAACAGCTTTGGCTCATGTGTGGGTGAGAAACAGACAGTGAAATAGCAAGCAGTCGCGCAAATAATGCAAATTATTATTATGTATAACCTTCCAATGTGCTGAAAATCCTTTTTACAAATAAAACATAAATAGATAGAAGCTTAAATAAGTATATCCGTTAATATAATTCATTTATTCAAATTAATTTAGAGAAAACTGTTTTGAGTCAAAAAACAAAATATTTAAATAAATTTTATTCTTAATTATTTTTGGAATAAATATTTTTGGAGTGTAATGTTACAAATCTTCTATTAATTTATTAAACAAATTAATTCAAAAAACATTTAATAAGAACTAAGAGACAAACCACACGCACTTAAAATTTTAAAGCAGTTAACGGCTTAATCGCAGCAGACTATCGCATTAAAGTATCGATATACAATAATGCATATGTATCGCATTAGGATTGGGCTGTTTTTCTAACTTTTCCATCCCTATGCCGTTCTATTATTGTCTTTTGCATACTTGCTACTAAAAGATGCATTTAAATGATGTCTACGTCACGGTTGGCACTACAAAATTTGATGCACTAATTAATGCCATGACGTCCAACCAGGTGCTGCGCGCTTTGCAAGATCTCAAATGTCAAAAGCTTGTGCTGCAACATGGGAACTCCACGCCGGTGGCCGAGCCAGAAGTCCGGCGTATCTATGAGAAATATGGCATTCAAGTGGAGCAATACCAATTTCGTCCGAATGTGGAGGATATTAGGGCTGCCGATGTGATCATTGGACATGCTGGCGCCGGTACATGCATGGATATACTGAATAATGGCAAGGCTGGACTAATCGTAGTGAACGACGAACTGATGGACAACCATCAGCTGGAATTAGCGCGTCAATTGGCATCCGAGAACTACTTGTACTACTGCAGAGTGCACGAGGTTGCCAGTAAACTAGGCGTTTTGGACTTCGGAGCTCTAAGACCCTACGAGCCAGCCACAAAGAATATGCAAATGTTTATAGAAGCATTAAAAGAACTGATGAGCCAATAGTATTTAAACGGTTTTTGTTTTGGCGCTGACCCCAGAAGCGGGCGCTTTAGATATATATATATATATTTATATTAATGAGTAAACACGATAAACGACTATGAAGAACGTTAGACAATGTAATAGGGCTATACGTTGCATAAATTCACGATTATTAATTATATAAATAGAACGATTAATAAGCAGATTTCTATTAAATTCCATTAGATTGGCATATTATATGTACTTATTTAACTGCATAAGCGATGAGACTCTCTACATGCTTTGGTTGTTGTTCATATCTCGTCGACCGTCTATTCGGTTTCTCCGGCGGCTGCGCTACCATTTTCAATGATGCTATCAAACGAAAAGGGCGCAAAGGCATAGCCCTGACCCATATAGAACTTGCTCTGGAACTCCACCCTGCAAAAGGCAACAGCATTAATTTGAATTTTCAACTCTTTGGTCATCAGACATACCAGTGTAGACGCAGCGTATGTAGAAATGCGGAAAGACCCTCCATTAAAACTAAAATGCCCACGGTCAAAACAGCCCAGAAGGCGAACACAACGGTCAAAAAGATGCCGCCGAGCCAGCCCTCCTTGTTTAAGCCCAGAGACAACACCATTGTCCACAAGACCTCGGCAAGTTCTGTAAATAAAGTTAAATGTATTTGCATATCGAACAAGAGCGCTTGATTTGACTTACGGGCATGAGCCAAGGAGAGAGCCCACAAACGCAAATACGATGCAGTGTGGGATACGGAGCCCAGTACATATTCAATCGTGTGTATACCCTGGTGTATGAATATCTCTGACATCTCCTCCTCGTCATGGTGTCCGCCGCCCCCACCATTCGGCATGCCGCCGACTTCAGCATCAGATGAGCCGCCAGTTATGGGCTGAACCTGTTTGAATGTAAGAGTTGTTGAGGTGTTAGTTGTAGACTCGGGCACTTGTTCTTAGGCTTTGTGGTACAACAAACGACAAGACTAACCTCTTCCTGTAGCATTTGGGTTGGTGTTTAGTTTATACGTTTGTTGCGTGTTTTTTGGATGGGGTTGGTTGGTTAGTTTGGGGGCAAGGGCAAGGGCAGGGCATAAATAAACAGAAGTGCAAACACAAGAATTATCTATTAATGTAGGCACGTGTACACTAGTTTGAAGTTTAACGAAGATGTGATGTGGTTTGAATGATGAAAGGATTGGCAAGAATGCATCTAACGCCGGGTATGACAGCTGCATGTACTTACGTTGGCCAGCTTACGCGCCTGCATAATCTTGATGGGCTTGCCTAGCAGCATGACCGGAATACAGGCGAGTGCGATCAATACAAAAACAGTTTGGAAAAATGATTGACCCCAAAACATATAGACGTGGCAGTCTTTTCCCGGCGGCTTGGACTCCTTAAACAGAACCATATCGATGAATGTAATCAGAATTGAAGGCGCACATGCCTCCGTCATGGGAACTACAATAAGAGGATATTAAATAATGGCAACAAGAAGTTAGCACCTAATCTTACATGCGTTGGTAGCCTCGTAACGATTCCATTTGATAAACATAAGCAGCACCATGTAGAAGAAGAGCACCAGCAAGAAAACCAGCTGTGGAATGAACTCGTAGATCAGCGACAGGCGATTGCGGAAATATGTATGATTGTGCCAGCTCATGATGACGCCAAAGATCATGTGCAACACCCCGAATATAATGGAGATCTTCATTTTGTAGGCATTTTGAAAGACAATCTTATTCGACGTGGCCACCTGCCAAATGGGATCCAAGCCAAACGGATATGGTGTCCCCTCGTAATCACTGGTAGCTGGACTCAGCTGTAAAAAGTTGTTGTTCCAAACTGTCGACTTATTGTACGACAGATGCCAATGCGAGCCGAATATGTTAAGCGACTTGGAGAAAATGTCATTGTAGATGAGGCCCGTGTACATGGAAAAGGCGCCCATCAGGAAAATGATGTAGCGACCGGCAAAGAAAATGTTCCATATCTCATTGTCCGTTTTCTGTGCAGCCAAGCCCTTCTCCTTGCGTATCATCCAGAGGCCGAAGAGAGCCATTATGGCTCCGTGGCCCAAATCGCCAAACATGACCGCGAACAGAAATGGAAAGGTGATGATGGTATAGGGCGCCGGATTCATTTCCCGATAGCTGGCCACACCGTATGCATCGATTAGCGCCTGAAAGGCTTTGGTAAACTTATTGGTGCGATTATAGGTGGGCGGATTCTCGAAGGTTTGCATCCGATTCAGTATTGGCGGCACTGATGAACCCGAACGCTCAGTGCCACGTCGCAGCGCCAGCTGAATGGTCTCAATGTCGAGCAGCGGCACCCAACATTCAGCAATCAGACACTTCTGAGTCACGTCCAGATTGAAGAGATTCAGCGTATGATAAATGGCCTTAATTTTGCGCACCTTGACGAACCAGTTTTTCAGATTCTTGGCTGCTGCGACCAGGACACGATGACGATGATCCTGCGTCTGGCCGAGCACCGTATTCAGATCCTCAATGCGTGTCATGACACCCATGGCCATTTCACGACGATCGGCTGGCGCCTCGGGGCAAGGATAGAGCGTTGCGCGGAAGCCCTCGCAGATCTTCTTCACGCGCGTTTTTAGCTGATCGCCTTGAAAGAAGATGATGAACACCGACTTGTACACCTGATCGCCCTGAAGAATGCATTGAAAACGTTGAATATCAGTCGAATAGTTTATCTTCTCTTTCTACTCACATTGGTGGGATCTTCCAGAGGCGACTCAATCATGGCCTGGCGCAGAAATACGTTGCCGCGGCAGGCGCGCCACAGCATGCGCTCAAAGGCGGGCAGCTTCTCCCGCAAAATGACGCCGGCCACAAAGCTATGAGAGATCAAAGATTAATAAACGAGCATTTGTGGAGGGTTTCCATCTATCAATCCGGTTAGTTACGGCAAAAAGGAAAACTAAACTCTCAAGCACAAATACCAATGAACGTAGCATGGAATGGAACGTGGCGATAACATTGAGAAGGGGCACATGTTTTTTTTTTGGGAATATTTTTAGGGGGCGTATGCGGCGAGCGAAGCCAATGACCACTGTGACATGTCTCTATATACAGTTTATGAGCATGAGTATTCCTAGTCTAAATTTTGAATTGTGGGATACCAACCAGGGCAGATAATCCTCACGATCAATCGATTTTTCCATAAAACTAAACAATTGTTCAAGAATTTATCTCGATTTGTGTTTGATCATATAGACGGATGATTTTTTTTTTGTTATTTGTTTTTGTTTTGGGAAGAGAGGAACAGAAGAGAGAACGGTGTTGGTTTTAGTTTTTTTTTTTTTTTTTTTTGCTTAAGGATAGGATTCTTTTTTTTTTTTGTTGAACAGAAAATTATTGCTCACAAAGGGTTTAAGAGGGAGACTCCAAAATATATAAGCCCGACATCGATAATGTTTGGTGTTGGATCATTTGATGTGTTGGTGGCACATTTGATGCGGATTCGGATTCGTTGTGTGACATAAGCGCAGCGTCTTTAATTGGTTAGTTGGCGGCGGCGTTAAGCAATAATTTTTTGTTTTCATATAATTAATGTAACGTTATTAATTGCATGGCAGTGGCCAAAAGTACGTAGCTATTGTATGCACATGGTTGGATACATACCCAAGCTGTACGGGACCCATGGATGCACCGGCGGTGCGCACCTCATCGGTGATGAGGGCGCGCGTCATCGACTCGGTGGTGTGGTTCAGGCCGCCCTCCTGCTAGAAATTGTTTTAAAAATTTGTTGTTTGTTTGTTGTTTCTTTGGCGACAATTCTGTGGTAGCATCAGCATCTTTGATCTTCATCAAAGTACATACATTTATGCTTAGTTTATGCGATTAGTAGCTTGGCTGGTTAAATAAAGCTTCCCGCCTCCAAATCTTTGTGGTTTGTGGATGGGCATGGGTATGGATACGTTCAGGAAAGGGTAAGGGGGGGGGGGGGGGGTAATAACCATCACCAGAACAATCATTGACCTTAAATTAATACACATACACATACATATATACACATTAACATAATATAGTAAAAGATCTCGCTTAACAGAACCTAACCTGCACACACACACACACACACACACGCAGACGCACAGATAATACTCGATTATAACAATATATTTTATGTATAGATAGAATGTAAAAAGATAACGACACGCAAAGTAGCCATGGAGAATGAGAGCGAGCGAGCGAGTCGGGTTTGACAAACATTTTTTGTTTTTTTTTTTTTCGAGTTTTTGTTTCTTATCATTTGGTAAATGCGCAGGCTGAGTTTAGTTTTCCATTGGTATCTGGTTGGCAGTTCTTGTTTGCAGAGTGATCGACTAATTCATTGAGGTTTCAATATTTACCCAAGCTTCAAATTTTGGCCAGGCTGATTGGCGCGCACGCCCTCCTCGCCCAACAGCTGCGCTTGCTCATCCTCGTTCTGGTTGTCGGCCATCTGCAGATAGCGTCGATATTGTTTTGATGAATGTGTGGACGATTTGTAAACCATTGGCACCGACTGGCAACACAATCGGGCGGAGAAACGTGGCGGTGTTGTTGTGTTGTTGTTTATGAGGGATGTTGTTGGTTTTGGTTTTGGTTTTGGTTTGGTTTGGTTTGTGCGTTTGCAGGGTTCGGGGTATTGGTTCGTTTGTATTGGGTATATTGAATTGATTTGATTGATATGGAAAATAAAACGTAAAAACAAATAATATAAAATAAACAAAAATATAGAACAATCAACGCTAATCAAATATATATATAGCTGCACACATGTACACATACGTACAAGAGAAACAACTTAAGCCACGCATGCGCAGAAAAAGAATATATAAATATATATATATAAATAAAATAACTAAGCTTAAACTAAAGCTAACTTGGGCACAGGAAAAATACAGCAACCAAAGAGAGTGTATTTACATTTGTATAAATATGCATAAAATATATTGGCTTGGACATGTTGGCGGTGGTAAGTGCTGCATGTATTATGTTGTTCTGTTGTATTGCGATTTCAATTAGAATAAATAATAATACTTTGGGAAAAGTTTGTGTAATTATATACCAAAGCTGCACCATTTGTGTTGTCAGGCTGGGTTATTGGTTAGCAAGTTATTGCCATATGTTAATTAGAAAATTTAGTGCCAACAGCTTTCGAAAAGCCTTTGCCACGTAGTCGCATATATAATACAATCTTAAATATGTGTTAGCCGGCGAACCCTATAAGAGATGTTAGCCAATAACCGCATGCATACCTCATCGAAGAAGACCTGCGTCTTGCGCAGTATATGCTTCAGCTCGGTCAGCTCCAGGAAGTTGCGTTTCAATGCTTCCGCATTTTGATTGACCTCACGCAGCTCGTTCTCCAGTTTCTCAAAGGTGGCCTGCAATGGAAACGACAGCCATGTAAGAAGAAAGGTGTTTGTGTAATCGCAACAGACTTGCCTCCAAGTCAATCATTTCGCGTGGCTGCGGTGCTTCTGGACTCTCGCCGGTGTCCAGCATGGGTATGCCATCCTTTTTGATCTCCTTCTCCAAGTAGCGCAATTTGCGCTCCATCTCATCGCAACGGCGCACCTCATTCACAAATTTACGTTGGAATGCATTCACGTCCGGGTTGAGCTGTGTGGGATATTGATTATTCTGTGTTTGCTTTTATTATGCCAAATTGCACTTACATCACGAAACTGGACCAGGCCCAGCTCGCCGAGCTCCGAGACGCAGGCATAGGCCGCTTCGCTCTGTAGGAAGAGCTGACAGAGCGCCATCTCCTCGCTACGGAATAATGAACCCATTTTGACAGCTCAGCAGTCTGTGGCTAATTACAAGTTGCTGCAAAAAAAAAATTCATTTGAAAAACAACAATAACAATAAAAGAAAATAAGTACTCATGCGGGTTATTATTATAAATAGCTATGAATCATTCAATATTTATCGATTTTAGGTGAATATTGTAATTACAATTCCTTGTTCTTTTTTATTTGCCTTCATTGCTCTTTTTCTCTATCAACGCCACTTTTGTGGAATGTTCCAAAAAAGTACTTGATACTGATGAAAACATCTCTATACAGATTTATTGATTTTTCAATTGTGTGGCAGATTAAATGAAAGTGCTGCGTGGTAAATGTTGGTGTTTTTGATGAACCCTGCATTCCGAGTATCGCAAATCAATGTTGTGTGAAAGGTAAACAGGTTGTTATTTTACTTTGCTTAGTCTTACAGTTAACTTTGACTCGCTTAAACTCTAACTTGAACAAGTCACAACTTCTAATTACCAATTTCTTTTAACTTTTAGTCTCTCAGCAGCAGTGTGACCGTAGTTGGATACAGTTAAAAAGCATTAGTCGATATGCAACAAAATGCAAAAATACTAGCGTGTATATATATATATATATATAGATATAGTTGAAATCACTAAAAAGCATTTTGCATTAAGAAATAAAAATATCAGCTATTAATGGAAAACAAATCGTTATGCTCACTTGCTTGCTTAAATTTGATTCTAGTAAGGTTCCCAGCCAGAACTAGTTCCTGCAACTATCGGTAATCGATAGCTTGAACATGAGCATTTAGCGCGCACGTTTTAAATGCATTTTCAACAATAAGCAAAACGTGTAGTTTATGAAGTGTTTGAAATACATGCTGAATAATTAAAATATATTGGCAGATTATGAAAGCTGTGCTGGCTTTTGTATTGTATATTTTCTAGCCCTAAATGTTTTTCATGGCTAAGTTAATTTTGAGCAATATACGTAAACAATGCATTAATGCAAAGCAATTAGCATTAGTTTTAATTTGCATTTATTATGTACTCATTTAATGAATGGCCAACGTTGCACTTTTCAAGTGTTTAATAACACAATCACGCCTGCCGAACATCCGCCTTTCCGCTCTTTATTGTACAAGGTGCTCTTAAGTGTAAAGAGCGGGGGCGCCGGTGGGTCCTTGGATTTACATTGACGAACTAGCAAAAGCAGCAGCGACAGCATCCGATGCTGATGAGAAAAAACACGAGGGCGACATTTTTCGCCTGAGACACGATTCAGTGTGAATTTGTAACTCGAGAGCGACGGAACGATTGCGGCTAAAGGCTCGGTAAATGGTTCAGGCAAATTTACAAGCAATATTAGCAGCAGCAGCAGCAAAAACATGTGAATGGGCAAAGCGAAGTGGAAAGTGGAGATGATTAAATCAGAAAATTGGATGTTTGCCGCTGTTTCTGTTACTGTTTCTTGCCTATTTAATATTTGCTTCGTGCGGGACCGTATGTGCGTGTGTGTGTGAGTGCGTGCGTGTGTGTGTGTGTGTGTGTGTGTGGGTCAGTGTGCCATTTTGCGATCCAACAAAATGAATCAGACAACAAAGACAACATTTGTATAATTGAAAAATTTACTGCTGGTTACATATACATATATGCGCGAGTTGCCGTTGTTGTTGTCATGTTCATCTTCTTCTTGCTCTTGTTGTTGTTGTTGCTGTTGTAATCGGTGTGGTTCGGTTTCTGGCAGGCAGCGAACCGCACCGCAACCCCCAAAAGTATGCCATGCCACAGAGCACAACATAGCCAAAAAAAAAAAAAAAAACAAATAAGGACAAAAAAGAACAAAAGGCATTTCCTCTCGTTCGCACAGTTAGCAGTTCGGTAGCAGTTGATTGTCGCTGCATGAAATTGTTATAAACAAAAAACAAAAAAAAAAAAAAACACAAAAATAAATAATTGGTATTAAAAAAGCCGCACCAAATGGCAAAGAGAAATTGACTTTCGCTGCGTTGCTTTGAGGCCGCTCCCAAAAAGCAAAAAGAAAATAAGAAGAAATTGCGAACTTATCAACAACAAGAAGGAAGCACAAAATAAGTGCCTAAAAAATGACAAAAAAAAAGAACTGAAGCCACAAAATGCCTTAAAATAGCCAAAAAATAATTTGTTTTGATTCAGATTTATAAGTGTAATCCATATTTTTATTTCGTAAAATGTAAAAATAAATCTTGTTTTATGTAGTTTTTCCTTGATTGTTTTATGTTTTATTTTTTTTCGTGGCTTAGTTTTAATTAGTTGTACGAAGTCTTGAAAATTTCCACGAAATTCTAAATTGAATAAGTGGAATGCGCAACGAGGTCGTTGATAAATCAAAATGTAGCCGATTTCTTAATAAGCGCTGATTGCCAGCTCACAAATAGGTGTACTTCAGTTATTTAGATGAGCTGCTTTGTTAGAACTAGTTAAGGTGTGCCCAAAGTAATTCTAAATCGGTTCATTTAGCAAGCTCTTGATTCAATCAAGGCACACACACACGCACACCCACACACACACACACACAAACGCGCGCGTGCAAGCTGAGTGCGAGACTTGATTGTAAAATTGGGTTTATTGTGCGGTCTCCAATTGAAGCCAGCTACGTTCCTCTAGGTGCCCCGAGTGCCCGAGTGTCAGTCATCATGGTCTCTGCGCTTTGACGGAGACGGAACGCAATTGGTGCTTATCTAACGCAGAGTTTTAGTTGCGAATACTCGTGGCTGGCGCAAAGATGACAATGTTGCCACATAACTGAGCTACAGCTAGGGTAAACACATGCATATATGTATATACACACACACACACACACACACACTGTATGTATATACACATGTGCGTATGATTGTTAATGTGTGCTAAATTTTGTGTAGTGCAGTGCTAATCCATTTTTATAACGGCTTTTTCCTTACATAAGGATTTGAGCAAATATTTGCATAAGGTGTAAGGCAAAACAAAGTGCAACCGCAACAACAACAACAACAACAACAACAATAGTGTTCAGCAACAACAAACAAACAACAACAATAACAACAACAACAACAACTATATTAACATCATCATCCAAACAACAAATTCATCAGCTGCAACAGCAAAAGGATATAGCCAAAAGACAAGGCTGCACTCAAATGCGGTATTTACTGTAGGTGCGTATTACAACAACAATTGCAGTATCTCTAAGTTTAACAATAACAGAAAAAATGAAAATAAGCAGAAGTCAAACAGCAGAGAAAGTGACAAAAAAAGCGAATACAAACATCAAAAAGGGCGTGTTGTGTCTTCAGCTGCTGCTCTCAGAAGTACCATGCACGTGTGTGTGTGTGTGTGTGTGTGTGTGTGTGTGTGCTTTTACATGTCTGTATGCGTGGTTGCGATTTGTTGTTGTTTTTGCGCTGCTACATCATCAAGTTGCTGCCTTTGCCTTTGGCTTTGGCTCTGGCTGCGCCTCTTTACTTTGTGCGTAATAAAATTGATGATAAAATAAAAATGGATGATGGGCGATTTTCGGCTGCGGCTGTAATGAGAGCGGCAGAGAGAGTTAGCGAGAGAGAGACAGAAAGAGAGAGTGACTGAAGCAAGCTGCTATGTTTACCGCTGCACCCGCCTTGTGCTCAACTTCTTGTACACCAACAAAACGTTGCCCTGCTGTGCTACGGCTTGAGTCTTCTCTTTTATTATTTGGTGTCTGCATTGATGCGTTCTCTTTCTTTGCTGTTTTTTGCTCTTTGCTGATAGCGAAGCATTTGTGCTTGAAACCAGCGTATGTGTTTGGGGCGGGGGAGGGCGGAACGGGTGGACGTAATAATTTGGTAGGTGTTGCTGATAAGAATGCTGCACAGTTGAAAATGGCGTGCGCGCGCGTTTAATTTAAAAAGCAAAATTTTAATCACGATAATGCGGATAACAAATAAAACCAACAACGCAGATGTTTTTGCGGGTTATCGAAAATTAAATACCCTTGCAGACATATATTAATTATAAGCTACATAATTATATTATTTATATGATATTACTTGTATAAGGCTTTGAATTTATTGAAGCTATCTATAGATATACAATTCTTTCTAGGCAAAACTAGGTTAGGATGCAGACTACGCAAAAGTAGGGTATTAGAAAAAAGAGGAACTGATTTCCTGTACATTTAAGTAGTTTATCTCTCTCCACTACGATTCTAATATATGCTAGGGTATACAGTATAGAGTCTACACAAACTCAAATCCACACACACAGACACACACACACACTCACATGCACACACAGTTTTCTAGGCTCTAGGCATTATTGCCCTGTCATTAACATAGGACACGTCGCCTTGTGGCCAAGTCGGGGATGTCTCTGCCGTATGCTTGGTCGCATAATTTGGCCAAAGTATCGCATTTAGTTGGGTTAATTACCGAATATTGTGTTGATATCTTAAGCGTTTCATGGGGGCCAACATAATTAGCTCAACGCATCCTTGATTTTTTAAATGCCGCCCAATGCCGATCGTATGCAAAGCCAAGAAGATGGCCCACGCACACAAAACAAATGACTGTGATAAGGTTAAATATTTAATAGCTTTTCTAGCTTCTCAGTCAGTCAGTCAGTCAGTCAGTCAGTCTGTCTGTCTGTCTGTCTGTTTGCTTTCGACTCTGTCAACGCTTTAGAAAAGTTTTTGTTGCTTGACTCGATTGTTGTTGTTGTTGTTGTGGCAATAATGGCAACGGCAATGACAATGCCACAACGCACAGTTTCGAAATAAATTAAAATTTCATTCAAGTGCCTTTCTGACAAAACTTTCTTAATTACAAATGTATTTCGGCTACCTCTTCTTCTTGTTGTTGCCCTCAAATGTTGTTTCAAGCAGTTTGGCCCAAGTGCCCTGTAAAATATTGAATTCTATAATAAAAAAAAAAAATTCGTATCCTTACATAACAATTGCCTGCAAATGACGGACATGGTTCCATATGTAAGTCATGTGCAGGTCTCGCTGCCACAACAATGCCAAAGATAAACTATTCACAATTCTAACTATGTTGATTGTTGCCCCATCAGCCCAAGCGAGGGGCCTTGCCGCTCCGCGCGCGCCCGCACAGTGGGCCATGCTAAAATAATACACAAATGGCACAGTGCGCACAGAAGGAGACATCAACAATAGCGGCAACAGTAACCACAGGGTGCCAAACGAGAGCAACAAGCACTGCATACCCAACAAAGCAATAACAGCGCTTTGACCGACTGGCACATACCCTGTACACAGATAGCAGTGCACTGCTACAAACAATAGCTCTGCTCTAAAATTAGAGTTGTTTTATATAATATTTAAGATAATACCTATTGGAATCTGCAAAGAAGAAAGCAAGTCTTCAGCTTCGTTCAGTATACCCGCCTCAATTCACTTTGAATGGTTACAGGGTATAAAAACAAAACACTCACACACACACACACACACACACACATAAATGAAAACCTGGTCGCTTTTGGAGCGCACTTGGTGTGCACTTAGATGGAAATGACGGCAGACAACAACAACAACAACAACAACAACAACAACAACAACAACAGCAACAACAACAACCTCAACAACAGTCAGGCATGTCGAGTAATGACAGCAGTCGCATTTAACAATGGGGGCACTGGCTAAGCAGCGGCCACGCCCACTCATGCTGCCAGCGGCGAGTCTGTCATTCATTCATTCATGCGCTCCACTTGTGCAGCACTGGACGCAACCAGCTCTGCCCTGGCAAATGGAAGGGGGGTTGGGGCAAGGATGCATGCATCTGTGGCAGTCGAGTTGTCATTGTTGTTGTTGTTGGGGCAACACACTTAAGTGGTCGCTTAGAGTGTGCCACGTTTTGTGTGTTGCTGCTTGTTTATGAATAAAAAATAGTTATTTGCAAAACGTTTAGCAGCAGCAGGAGAGCGCGTCGTTGACGCTGCAGGATGCATGCCTAAAGGCGTTGTGAGACTCTGTACTTATGCATCGTTTCGGGCAGAGATACTTTTGTCTTTTTATTATTCTTTATTAAATGGCCAAAAATGACGGCCATGTCTTGACGGCAACGCACCCGCGAGGGGGCCCACTGTGATGAGCCAGGATAATTGTTGTGACATTAAAATAATAAATGCAAAATATATACAAACTGAAAAAAACAATAAACAAATACATATTCGAAATCCAGAAACCGCAAAATGTATAGCCTACTTTTGTGAGTATTTCAATTAAATACGAACAAACGGCAAATGCGGCAGGGCGTAAAAAGCCAAGCGAATTGGTTAAATGTAAAAGTTAAAAGAAAAAAGGAAGCAACAACAACTGTTTGTGGTTCTGGCTAAAATATAAAAACTTCGCTGTTAGCAGCAGCAGAGCAGCAGCAGAGCAGTAGCAGCGGGAGCAGTGGCCGCAGCAGAGACATATTCGCTGGCATCGTTAATCTCTCCATTTCGCCGCTCTTATTCATTGGTGTACGGCGAAAAGCGCAGGCGCGCTCTCTTGCTCGCTCTCGTATTGATGCTGTAGCATTTGCTCTTACGCCTCGTTTGTTCTTGCTCGCTCCATGTGTGTGTGTGTGTGTGTGTGTGAATGTGTGTGTGCAGTTCTTCCTACTTTTTTTTTTGGCAATGTCAATGTAACTTTTATCCAACTGCCGCTTCAGTGGTTTCTCTTACTGCAGCAGCGAAGCCTCCCCCTGCGTCCAAGTCGTTTGAGGCGCTGATTTAAATGCTGCTGATAAGGCGGCATTAGGATTCGAACAGTTTCGGCTACAGCCGTCACATAACATGCTCAGCCATGTCTCTGCCTGTGTGCGTGTGTGTGAGTAGTTGTAGCTGTGCCTTTGGGCGCATAAGTTTACAATTGACTTTTAACGATAACGTGATACACACGTGTGCGTATGTGTGTGTGCGAATTTATGTTTTATCATTTATTGTTAGTGGAACGTGCAGACGTCAGCCCAGCGCCAGCCACGCCCCGTGTCGCCTATGCTGCGTGCCGCCATTTTGTTGCCATGCTGCCTGCGATTGCCGTTGTTGCTGCTGTTGTTGTAGCTGATGTGATAATATGCTGCGCCTTTGTTTTCGCAGCAATAAAAATTGGTTGTAATTTACTCGTGTGTCAATGTGTTCTGTGTGTGAGTGTTTGTGCGGGTGTCTGTGTGTGGGTGTGTAGGCCTTGTTGTTATTGTTGAGATTGATACGCGCTGCGCTTTGTTGTTGCTGTTTTGCCTTTTCGGCTGGCTACGTCTCTCTTTGTCTATTGCCAATTAATTCCATTGATATGCGTGCTTCATTCTTTGCTGCTTTTGGGCTCCACACAAGCCGTTGTATACATTTGTATTGCATACTTTGCGGCTGGCCGCAATTTGCATAGCCTTTCGGCAATTATGGTGGCTTTGTTACGTGCGTGGCATAATTGACCAGCCAGCCAGGGTGCCCTCGGGCTTAATGCATATTATACGAATCGAGGCTTAATGTTGACTCTTGAATTATATATAAATATATATATACATAAATATTTATTTAGCTGTCAGTTACAAATGCATTGCAGCGCGTTGGCAAACACATAAAATTTGCAAAAATTACATTAGCTTCGGCGAAGGATTGCCAAATAGCAACAACAAATGCCAGTGGCAGTGGCAGCAGTGACAGCAGTGGCAGCAACAGCGGCAGCATCAAGGATCATTGGCAGACATTGCCTTTTGTGCGGCGCCAATTCGCATTTGCATGCAACTTGAGTTGACTGGCAGCAGTTGCTCTACTTCGTTTATCTCACAAAGCTTGGCTCCCATTTCTCATCCTTTCCATTTTTCTCCATCTCGTTGCAGGCAGCAATTTCAGCGTTGGAACAAAGGGCTTTTTTCTGTTATAGTTTTTTGTTTTCGTTTTTTTTTTTTTTTTTTTTTGGTACAACTGAAGCAATTAACTGAAAATGTAGCGCTGGCAAGGACATGGGCAAAGTGGAACAGCAAATGCCATGCGATGCAACGAGCATAAATGTAAGTATGAGAAATGCTAGTTGGTGTGGGCATGGGGGCGTATGGGGTGTATGGGCGTGTGTGCGCGTGTATCTTGGCTAATTGCCTTGGTTATGCGAAGCGGCAAGGATCAATAGAGACATAGCACAGCAGAGAAAGCAGTGAAAGCAGACAAGGCGCCACTGTTGCCACAGCTGAAACTGTACGAAAGTGCAATTCAGTTTCATTTGCTTTCAATTTGCAGCAGTCACGCGTTAATTCTGCAGCCCAGAGCTCTTTCTCTGCCACTGTCCCCCTATCAGTTCGCCTATTATAATGTATATATCTGTGTGGGCGTCTGGGTGTGCTTGTTTGTGTGTTCGCTGGCATTGCTTTTGCTAACGCTGCTCTGCCTAGTCCTAGTCCTGCTGCAGGCATTTGGCTTTCTCATTGCTCATCCTTATATCCTTCTATGCGGCGCTGCCTTTGTATGCTGCACTAATCAACTGATCTGAATGCAGCACACGCTTGGTAAATATACCGATGGGTTGTGGGCGTGGGCGTGAGTGTGGAGTACATGCCACTAGGCATAACGGCTTGGATTGAAATCACAATAAAGAAAACTATTATATTTTCATCTCATTTGCGGAGAATAAACTCACAGACTAAATACACAATATTTGTGATATCAGTAGCTTTAATGTCGTTTGTAGCGAATATATAGGATATTGATAGATATTGTCTGTATGAGCATATTGTTTGGGAAACTAAGGAAGCAGAAATGGGGTCTACTTTAAAGAACTCAATTCAAAGGGATCCATCTATATGTAAAGTTTTATTGGTTTTGAAAGATTATACCTATGATGATTTTTCAGCCTTATAATTCATTTCTTAATTTCTGTTCAGTTTCAAGAAATTTAAATTTAGTATGATATCATAATACAATATTATAAATTTAAAGCAAAATGACATAACAAAGATTAGAACGGAAAAGCTCTTTAGTACATAAAAGATATTTTTAAATTCACAGATGCTCAACTTGAGTTTCAAGCGAATGGGAAACGATTTCTGTGTCACTTAACACTTTTTATCGTTAAATTGAAATTTGATTTGCCTTTTAATATAACGTAGACCATGTCCTGTGATATCTTTTACTTTGCGCAAAGTCCTGTCCCAATCACGTTTACAGCTTTCGCTTGATATCCTTTAGCTGCTTGGCTAATGCTGTTGCTAGGTGCACAGCAGCAGCAGCAGCAGCAGCAGCAGCAACAACAACAATCTGGGCCAGGACAATGGCAAAGTGGAAAAGCTGGCGACAACAACAATGTTTAATAGTCAAGCTCGCCAGGCCCTGCAGGACACAAAAGCCAAACACAAGTGCACCACATTCTTTTGGGCGGTGTCGCCTTTGGTGGCTTCACGATGAGCTGAACAAACGGGCCACAACGGGCGTTGGCTATGCGGCTCCTGTTTGAGTTTGCGGCAGGCGTTTGCTGCAATTGAAATGCCAGGCAATGAGGCATTTAATCGGAACGAGCTAAGCAGGGATATGGGGCGTGGCTGAGGGCGTGGTAATGGACATAACATAAAAGGCGATGCAAGGCGTTGGCTTGTCTTAAACAAGGTGCCAAGCAGCGCAGCGGCTGATTTTCTCTGTGTGTAGGTCGTTGTATGTGTGTGTGTTGTGTATGGGTGTGTTGTGTATGGGTGTGTGTGGCCTTATTTGCATGTGACATACACGGCCAACACGTGCCAGGGTTACCTGAGCTAGTTGCTCGCCCCGGTCCGCGTACATTCGTTAGCCAAAAGTCTACAGCTTTCAGTTTTCTGCTTTCTGCTGCAAGTTTTCCAGTATCCGGTGTAAACCATGCATCATGTGACACGGCACGTAAATTCGTAATAAATTTGGAATTATGTGCACATTTCGTGCCCTTGCTTCTGCTGTTGCCGAGGCCGAAGGCCAAGCAATTTGCAACTTGCACTTTGATAATTTATGTTGCATGCGCCCAGTCGCAACAATACATCATATATGTGTGTGTGTGTGTGGGGGGGCTTGTGTACATTGGCATTTGCCATTGTCAGCCGGAGTTTTTCAATTTGACCCAGCGCCAGCGCAGACAAAGACCATGCCATGAAAATGGATTATGCTGCCTGACAAGGATATCACATTGCTGGTTATGCATTGACAGCCAGCCTCGGCTTCGGCTGTGCCAAGTGCATCAGATATTCATGCCACACACATGCGTGTCTATAACAAGCAATAATCCAATATTGTTGCGTACAGCCGACTAATTGCTATCATTAAAGCAGCATTCATTGCGCTGCTGTCAGCCTCCATTTGGCAACTGCAATTGACAGCTGCAATTGATTTAAGCGCATGTTTGACACTCAGTTCGGCAGGCGTTTCATTTACAATTTTGCACATTTCATTTGAGCTGCCATTGAAAACAACAAGTTGACATTTTGTATTTCATATATTTGCAGCCATTTTCAGATGAAATTAACTTTGCATGTTGCGCTTCATTTGCTTCACGTGCGTTTCTGTGTTTTTGTGTACATTTAAATGGGGATATTTTTTTTTTTAGACTGTTGAGGAGTCGGAAATTGATCAAAGAAATTGGTCTGAAACACTTTTTTAATTAGCTTATTCACACTTTTCGAAAAATCCGATTCTTTTGAATGGAAATGATTCGATCGACCTGCTTCAAACTTCTTTTAAAAACTCTACTCAAATTAATTTGAAAATTGTTTCACATTTTTCGGAATATCCACACCTCCTGTTTGGAAAATGAGAGTCAATGCTTTTCTGGATGGGCCTCAATGGGGATCTACATAGAAAATGAATGAGTTCGTGTTTTAGTGAATTTGGCTATTTCACTCGAAACTGTGAAAAATTCGCGGAAAAGTGTTGCATGCAACTTTTTTGATTGATTGGCTTCAAAGATCTTTGTGAACGGTGTTTCACAATTTTTGGAATATCAAAGGCTACATTTTCGGCTTCAAAGCTTTTAAATAATATACTACAGTTAAAATATGGTTGAACGATTTTTTTAGTCCGACTACAAATTCTTTGAAGCAAAATGTAACTTTTTGTTTTGCCTTCCATCGAGCTCAAAGTCATTTAATTCAAATATCCATGTAAAATATGGTTTGAGACTTGGGGCTCAAAGCAGTACGAGTAAATTTAAATTAAGATTTTTAAGATACATACTTGATCAACTTGAATGGCAGAAATCATAAGTGCTTAGAATCAAAAATTTTTATACTAACAAATTGATTTCATCAAACATTTTGAGTATGCATCACCGCTTTTTACAAACTTTTGAGAATATATGTATGAATATTATTTTTTCTGAATGCGAAAAAAAATGCAATATAAATTACAGACAATATTCGAGCGATTAGTTTATAAAGTGAACAGGAAAATGCATCTAGAAGCGTTTGCATTTTCATTTAAATGCAGAATCCATCTAACTACAAATATTTACGCTGAAAGTCTCATAGCATCGATGTCCTTCAGATGGTAGTTATGTCATATATTTACTTTGCATGAGTTATAGAAAATAGTTACAAGCAAATTAGTAATCTTTAATCTTGGTAAAGAATTTGTTCAGTTACTCTAGAGTATCAAAGTATCAAATGTGTATGCTCACAGCATACAGAGTATGTCATAGTCATGCTGATACTAGTGTTGCATTTTGGTGTACTATCTAGTTATGCTCTGTGCGTAATTGGCTGCAAGAGCACTTATTCAGTTTCAATTGAGATGTGAAATTGTTGAAAACACGAGCTCAGTTTACAGCATTTTAATCCACTTTGCTTGCCCTTCGACCTGAGCTCTTATCGTATTTGTAAAACCTCTGTGCAGCTGCATTGAAGATTCGTCCCTGACTCTTGATTTATATATAATGTGGCAAAATGTTGGCAAATGCAAAGTGGAACACCCGCCAGCCCGACGGGCCGCTCGCTTGGTTTTACATCGGCGGATAAATTGATTTAATTTGATGCTGAAATTGCATTAAATTTGCTGACTTGGCTCTGATTCCATTAGCGCTGTTTAATGGAAAGCAATTTAAATGCTGGTCAGTGGGCAGCACACATGCCATATACCTATTCGAACTATATGTACGCAGCTTTATCATAATTATTGCTGGAAACAAGTGTGGCATGCGGGCTTCATTGATTTGGCATTGCATAGCTGGTCGACGCAGGGGCGAGCGGCGTCGGGCGAGATTTTGGCAGCCATTGGATGGTATTGGATTTGGTAGCTGTCCGTTGAGAGAACAACAAAAAGCAGCCAAAACGGCAACAATTTTAAACAATTTCGTTTGTGGCACACGGCAAAAACGCTGTCAGTGGTAAAGCGGGGGCTGGGCGGGACGGGGGAGTGCACAGAATGCGGGTCAGAATGGCATTCTAATCGGATTTTGTTGCAGCTGTGGCCAGAGCTGCCAGAGCAGCCGGAGCAAAACAAAAGCTTTGCCAGGCAAATTGATATCGAGAGCAATTTGGCGCCGGGTCAGTTGTTGGTCGATAGAGCAATGGGGCAAGGGGGCAAGCGGACAGTGGGGCAGGGGAGCAGGGGTGGAGCGTATGGTTGAAGGTATTTTCAATTTGAGCTGCCTGTCAAACGCTGCGTATGCGCAATTGCGCATAATCTTTGATGCCATAATTTGATCGCACAGCATTTGTTAGTCATTTGGCAAGGACTCTATCCTGCAGCCTGACGTTGATGAATACAGACACGGCGATAAATTCAATTATATAAAGCCAGGAGCCTGGAGCCCATAACTCAGCGCCAAGCTGACAGAGATGGAAAAGGGATGGAGCTAGATGAAGCGGCTATTCGATAAAACTCTTTACTTGCCACCTTAGATATACTTGACTATGGGCTTTAAAGTGTTGCCTGGGAATTGTTAGAGAGCCGCAGACACGCACAAATGAAATGGCACATGCCGCACATACACTGTGAAAAAGCAAGCATTGCGGGCCAGGAAAAAGGCAAACAACATGAAATAAATGTAATAAATTTTAAACATAGAGATGATAAATTGCTCTGGGATTTCGGCTCAAAGTGCTGCCAATGCCGAGCAGCTGCCAAGCTGCCAAGCTGGCAAGCTGGCAAGCTGGTTGGTTGCCTTGCCTTCGCAGCCATCCTGTTCGCATTGGGCTCAACATTTTTTACAATTTGTTTGCGGCTTCACTTGTCCCTCGCTTGTGCCTTGCGCCACATGTGTCTGTGTGCTGGCGTGGTTTATTTTTTATCTATTTGGCCGCATGCTTTGCTGTCGTTATTTAATTCTCTTTCGCTTTTGAAATTGATTTGACGCTTGGCTTTTATTTACTTTGCCCTACGCCCAGACACGCCCCTTACGCAACTAAACTTTTGCCAAGCTGTAAATTGCCAGGCAAATATTGTGCTGAACTTTTCTGTAGTTCTAGATGCAACTTTTGCAACTGCTTTTGCAGCTGTCGCCAAATGTTATGCATTAAGTTTTAATCCTTGCTTCTATCTTTGCAGAAACTTCAAATATTCCGTGATTAGGACGTGGTGTACCCAAGCGCTCTAAATGCAGACGATATGGTGAGTGTGCCTATATAATAAATCGAAAGTCAACTCTTTCGCATCGAATCAATTGCACTCAGTTTGCGCACAAGTGAAAACTTTTGCCCCTCTACAAAGGCGTTGCCTATTTTGTGGGGCAGCGCTCGCCTGGGACGACACGAAGTGTGTGTGAGTGCTGACGCTTGTTGATATGCAGCTCAATCCAAGTACTAATGTTGCCCCAGGACTAGTAAGCTACACCAGCTGCACACGTTCACAAGACCGACACACAATGCACACGGCGCTCATGCATTACGCATACGCCGCATATGCCCCAAACTATTAGCAAGAGCTCTGCATATTTATGCAGAGAAATATTTAGAATTTTCAGAAATGTGCATGCATAACAAGTACGCTTCAAGAGAAACACAAATACAGTCACACACACGCACACACAAACACGCTCACACACACACACACACACACACATCAGATAGATAATTAGACACACAGATTTGTACCTGTTTTTATATAAAATTATGGATTTCAGTGTGTAAGCTGACAAAATGCTGAACTAACTTTTCTAATTAAAAACTAAAAATTATTTTAAAGCATAATAAGTGGCTATGCATGCACACCCGTCACACACACACACACACACCCACACACAGGCACACATAAGAGAAGGCCACACGCAGCCACGTTATTTGCAACAAAAGCCAAATTTAAATTACCATTTGTCATAAAGGCCACGCAGCAACAACTGCAACACTAGCAACAACAACAGTTATACACACACACACACACACACACACACACACACACACACACACACTGCACTGTACACTGTCCCGCTAATTTCCACTGGCTGACGATGATGATGATGATGATGCCTTGGCTTTGGTGTCGTCCATGCATATTGCATTGGGTTGCAACTCGACAGGCTGGCAGACAATCTGACAAGCAGTCATGCATGCCACGCCCATTTGCAAACGCCCCATCGTAATGCATCTATTTTTTTTTTGGGCTGCAGCAAAATGTTGCCTCAAAAAATGCGCAAAATGTTTGGCATCGAACAAAAATATATATATAAAAATATATATATATATATTATCTGTTTGGAACGTATGAGTTTAAGGGCAGTGCCACGCCCACAATGTTGGCCATATTGCGCATACATACGCACCGTTGTACTCTGCAGCTAATGTCGTTGTCTATGCAGAATTAAGCACTTAGCGGAAAACTGGCTTTCGGCTTGCTACAGCCCCAGTAACAAGTTTAATCCTGTTAGTCACAGATGGCCTGTCAGTCAGTCAGTTAGTCAGTCAGTTAGTCAGTTAGCCAGTTAGTTAGTTAGTCAGTTAGCCAGTTGAGCTTCTTTTGCTGCTTGTCACTGTCTCCTCGTGTTGCTCACGCAAAATTTATGCAACAAACTCGCGGGTGTTGAAGTGTGCATAACAACATAGCATCTGCTGCGGTTCTAGTTGTCTTTGTTGTTGCTGCTGCTGCTGATGTGGCTGCAGCTGCTGCTGCTGTTGTTTAGTGCAGTTTTTGCGCTGCAACAGCCGCCATTTGTTTCAGTCAGCCATTTGCCATTCTTGATATTCTTGCTGTGAGTATTTCAACTTGGTTACAATGTTCGTAAATACATTTCCAACAGAAATCTCAAGAAGCATTTGCCACAAGTTCACAAACGCAATGCATTTACCCACATTTGAAATCCGTTTCTGTATAAGTCTAGAGTCAACCATTATTGGCATGTTGCCGCCTGGCTTATATATATTTATAAATTCTTCTATTTAATATTATTTGTTTTTGTGGTATTTGTTACTTGAGATATTATATGTAGAAGCACTTGTTTTGACTTTCAGCTTATGAGCATAAGCAGAGCAACAGCTAATCGTCAATTAACCCGGCGGATTAAAAAAACGTTTGCTTCTTGCCCAAAGGGATTAAGTTTAATTTCTCTCACCTCTTGGCTCGTTAAGCCAATGACCGTGAGCACCTCCATTATCGTGCAGAGGGTATTGCTGCTCGCTTGACAGCGATGTCCACATATTTTGCAATCTGCATAAACAGGCCCCTTTGTGCATTAGTAATCTAATGAAAAGTTGTAATGTTGACTTCATAAAAGTTTTCATCATCGTTAAGGATATATAAGTTTATAGCTAGACAGTAGATCATATTTCTGCATATACTTTAAATTCCATCAAGAATTCGATCAGTTGAATCGCCGCTGCCGCAGTCAGAGTATTTTTGGATTCGGTGTGCTGTTGATTTTCTATTTTTCGCCACCATCTTCTTCTTTTTTTTTTTTGCTTCGCTATTTGCAATGCTTATTTAGTAGTCTCTGTTTTCTGCGCTTACTTTGAAGTGGTTTCTGCGCTTTAGTTCCCTCTAATTGGCTGTGGCTGGCTTTTAATTTTTCTTCGTTCTATTTTTCCATTATTTTTCCTTTTTGCGTTCAGAGTGGAAAATGCATTTGGAGCAGCAGCAGCTGCTGCCGTTTCAACTTTAAGCGAGCGCATTAAAACCCAGAGTCCTGACTGACAAATTGCCCGACTGGACGGAGACATAATTATACTCGAAATATCTCCATGTGTGTGCGGCTGTGTGCTTGTGTGTGTGCTGGTGTGTGTGTTGGTGTGTGTATGTGCGTCTGTACGAATGCACAGCATGAAAACTAATTGCAAAAATGCAAATGTAAATGGCACAGAAGCGGAACACGCAACAGTCAGCACATCAAATAGAAACATAGCGACAGCAGCAACAAATACAAGCAACAACAACAACAAACAAAAGGGCGTGGGTGTGTGTGTGTGTGTGCTGGTGTACCAGGCGCTTTCCCAATGCCAATGCACAGCGCAAACATTCAAAATGACAAAACAAATGTCGTTTCATTTGGTTTTCGTTTTAATACCCCTTCACAAGCTGAAAGGAGTATATTTGTTTTGCCCAATGTCTGTCCGTATGTCCACGTTAAATTAAATATGAAACTTGTTATAGATAAGTTTATATGACCCACTGGCTTAAGAGTCAGAGTCAGCATCTTTAGAATGAACACTATGTAAGAAGTCTTAGGCAAGTATTACGCAGTCGGTTGCACCCGATTGCAACGCGCTTCCTTTTTTCTCACTTATTGTTGCTCTACACTCGCTGCAATTAAAATCCACAACTCATGTGCTCATGTATAAGTGTGTTTTTCTGTGTGTACGCTGCATACAAAATAAAGAATTATGTGGTAACTAAATTGCAGCATTCACATTAAAGGCGCGAGAGGACTTGGGATTTGTGCTGGCTGCTTTCATTTGCTGTTGCTTTAGTTAAGAGGAAGGACTCATTTTTACACCCTTAACTTATAAATAATGAGTTAATGGGGTATAATGAAGTATAGTTGTGGGTAATAAGGCAGAAGGATAAAAAGAACATAAAGGCATTACAATACGATGCGATTACAGTGTATAGAGCCTGTGACTCCATCTTTGTGACTCGACTGCTTTTTTTTTTCTCTCTCTCACTTGCTCGCTTTTCTCTTAAACATGCTCTTTCTATGTCGTACGTGCCCTTTCCCAATCGTATGTTCTCTTACACCCCCTTTGTTGTTTACGCGAACTCCTCCCCGTTCTATTACTCTTTGCACTTACAACAACTCATATACTCTCGCATTAAATGTCGCCTTTCCATGCAATTCTCATTAATGAAATTTATGTTTTCCTTGTCTCTTTCAATATTGAAAAGCATTTGTTGGTATTATTTATGATACTTAGCCATAACACTAGGTTAACGCCTTGACGAGCACTTTCTACTAGAAGGCTCTTAATTATTACAGGTGCGCTTATCAAACACACCGTCGCACGAATATACACATACGTGCACCCCTATAGCTAGTTCTGGTTGGCATTAATGAACGGCTGTAATATAAAAATGTAGAAATGCTACAAGAAACAACCGCACAGGAACTGAGCCGAAACTAGCAATTCCTTGACACCACCCCTTTCCGGGCAATCAACATGACCACATACACACACATAGACACACAAACACACACACACACACACTCACCTAGTTACGCATATGCCCTGATGACATTAGTGCAGCATTGCAGACATTTTTACACAGCAAAACGAAAAATTTACTGGACAAATGGGCAGCTGGACAGTTGGGCAGCGGGGGCCAATTTTGGGGCTGGCCCCAATGGCAAAGGACACTCAATGCGTTAACAGCAACAGCCACTGACAGAGGTGGGAATGTGTGTGCGTACGTGTGTGTGTGTGTGAGTGTGTGTTTGTGTGTGTTGGTGTGTGGCCTGGAATTTTACGTTGATTACGAGCACTTTGTGAGTCCGTGTTACGTGTGGGCGTTATGCTCAGTTCTGTGGCTGCTGTTGCTGTTTTGCGGCTATGTCTGTTTACCATCAGCCGAACATGACAATGACAACTATGCGTTCATTGTTGCAATTTTTACTTTATTATCAGTGTCTGAAATAGCCACAAGGACAACTCTGCACACACACACACACATACGTGGGTAAACATACGAATCGGTGTTAGATAACCCCCAGACAATAGTGAAAATGAGAAAATGAGTTTTACTCTGTGTCTTTCTGTTATTGACGTCGCTCGGGTTGGCCACGCATTTTGTTGGCCACAAAATTTGATAAATGTGTGTGGCATAAGAATGTGGGCGTAACGTACCAGCTAAGCTAATCTAATGCACTTGAAGATAATTTATTATTATTCACAGCTAAAGCGTTATGATACCGATATTAGTTGTGGGCCCTTAACATGTTCTAAAAGCTTTCTGCTAATCAGCACAGTCGAGGGGTATGCAAAAGCTGTCCATTTGATTGAATGGCCGTTGGCAAAGCTTTTGCCAGTTAAAATAGCGAATGTGTGGAAAACTTGACTAGCAGCTTTCGCTGCAAAAGCTCGCGACAGTTCGCTTTTATAAGTCCTTTTAAAAGCTTTGTTGCTGTATTATAAAAGAAGCGACTGCCATAAATGGATATGTTAAACGTTTTTATGGGCGAACCAGCAATAACGCTTGACTGTTAATTAACAGCAGTACATAACAGAGTGCTTATATGTGCTGCAGATTTAGTAGAAGTTGGTTTGCCTCAGAATTCTAGTTTTAAGTCTACTTATACTTTGTTAAACTTCAAGTCTAATGGTATATTATATGAAGATGTTAAGAAATTAGTTTAAATAGGGACTAAAAGTTATAAAAAGAAGTTTGACTATGAAATCTTATTTTAAATAAATGAGTTTGAAGATATAAATAAAACCCTTGCCCGAATTCATCAAATGTTGACGTAGATCTTTAAAAATGAATTTAAAGCAGCTCGTAAACCTAATTCTCACACATGATATCAGCCAAAGTTGACCAGTTTGATTAAAAAACATTTTGATAGCCTCTTTTATTGGTAATATAAATAATATGTTTCTCATGCCCATTTACGTTCATTCTGGTCATAAAATACTGTAGCCTCCCCTCATTTTAAAGCCAATGTCATTCGATTTTAAATAAGTATTTCCGATGATTCTTTCTAAGATGCGACCTCAAACACAAGAAAACGCCATTAAATCGATTTACTATGTTAAGCTTTAAATCATGAAAACAAATAAAAAAGCAAACTGTTTGGTATTGCAAATAAACAAAATAGCGAAATGAACCCTCATTTAAGAGGAGAAATGGTTGGCAAAACGTCAAAGGATTGTCCCGCCGGCAAACGGCAGTGGAAATTGATTAAAAAGTAGCGCAGATGGCAGGGATAGCCTAAATACACAGGGCAACAACGAAATGTTGTTGCAGGACTCTTAATCCTCGCAACAGGGCCACAAAGGCAAAGGAATTCCCACTAAATAGCAAGCGAATCGGCTATCTAAAGCCAAAGAGTTCCAAGCGGGTCCAAGGCGGTTGTAGGATTGGATATTGGTCATTTTCAATTTGCACACATATGCATATACACATATATGTGTGCTTAGCATTTGTTTGTGTTGGGATCGACCCGGAATAAAAGGACTCTTTTTGTTGTGACATCTTTTTAACATATTATGTTTCATGCTCTTTCCGTTTTCAGGGCACAACATGGCCTCAGCACAGATACGACATTTCTATAACACACCAACAACAACAACAACAACAACAACAAGAACAAACAAGTCCTCTTCTTCCACAACACGCCAACTCTTACAACAACAGCAGCAACACACTGTCAACAGCAGCAGAAAGCGGAAGCAATTTGAAAGCGAAACGTTTCTGTGCCACACAACAACACAAAGTAAATTGGAAGCACCAAGAACAACAACAACAACAACAACATGGCAGCCACTCACGCCAGCAACACTCGGGACAGCAACAGCAGCAGCTTCATCAGATGATGTACAAACGAGCGGAAGTGAAAAAGGTGCTTCGAATTGGATATGGACAATACATGAGATCGCTGCGAGCACCGCCAACCATAGCCGCAGCAACAGCAGCAGGAGGAACAGCATGTTACAGTATGCTGGCACGAAGACTGGGCAACAGCAGCAGCAGCAGCAGCAGCAGCAGCAGCAGCAGCAGCAACAGCAGCAAATGCCGCAGCTGCATCAGCAATATCCTGTCTCAGGTACACATGATGCTAATTGCAATGACGGCCACAACGATATTGGCGCTGGCATTGCGGGATGTCGACGCCTTGCTGTTGCTACTGGGGCTGCCACTGCTTTTGCTGCGCACGCCAGCAGCAGCAACAACAAGAGCAATACAAAAGCTGCAACAGCAACATGCAAGCCAACAATACAATCACGCCTATCTTCCAAAACCAAACACGGCCAAGGTCAAGACTCTACAACAGCAACAACTGCAACAACAACTGCAACAACTGCAACAAAACAACGAAAAGTCTATCAACACTGCACAAAAGCTGCCGCTGCCATTGGCCAGGGCCCTCGGACTGTCAGATTCTATATGGATATGCAAAAATTTGCACGCACTGTATTTCCGCTTGTTATTGTCTTCAATCTGCTACCTTTGTTCTATGCAGGTAAGTGCCATGTTTAGTCCTCAAGTTAACGTAGCTGTTTATCTAGAGGCTGTGCGCTTAATTAGCCTCAATTTCTCTTTGGTCAATATCAACAACTTAACAGAGCATTGCTCTAATTGAGGCCAAGTTTGGTGTGGAGCATTGTCTTTGTTCTTGTGTTATGGCTTTGATGGCTTGTAACCGAGTTGGAAACAAATGCCGTTCGAGTAAATAAATATATAAATGTTGGCAGACTTTTAAGCGCTGCCCAAATAACTTGGACAATGTTTGCAAATTGACCCGCCCCACACACAGACACACACAAACGGGAGCTGCCGGCAGCTCATTATTTATATCGACATGAGAAAACAAAAAAAAAAAAAAAAAATGGTCACAAATTTAATGACTAACCAGACTGGACTCTGCCCCAGAATGCGACCCCGAGAGTCCTTTGCGTCGACTTTTTAACATCTTTTTTGTATTACGACTTTCTTGCTGCCGCTTATTTAAAAAAAAAAATAAATCATGTAAGTCCGAAGTGCACGAATAGGAAATACCCTGTAGGACGTAGTTACGTATATCAGATATATATCTGATATATCTGTAAAAGATTTGATCCTTATGCAATTAGCAGAGCTTTAAAAAAGGCAACCAAAAGTGTTTATATACCCAAGTGTAAAGCTATACTTTTAAAACTTAAGGGTTTTTTGTTACAATTTTATGGGTACGTCAAAGTTTAAAGTTCGTTATCTGTATGATATTATGATAAAATTAATATTTATTGACAATATGGGAAGGTGGAAAAGGTAAACTCTTTCTGCGCATAAAAAACAAAACGTCTTTTATTACATTTTAAATAACTGTTCCTTCGACTTTCAAACGGACGAAGAGACAGACATGACTAGCCTCAATAAGTACAGGGTATCACAAAAATACATTATTATTATAAAGTTTGGGTCACACAGACAATGGGCCGCGACCTTTTTTTTTTGGCAACTTTTGTTGTTGTTTTCGTTGTTGTCGGTGTGCAGCAAACTTATTAATTAAACGCGAATATAATTATTTAAGACAATGTTGTGTGGCAGGCAGCTGCTTTATCAAATTCAATTTGCGATCCTCGTTTGATAGCGGGTGGTGCTGTGGCGAGCGGGCTGCGTCTGGCCCTTAACAAATGCCTAATGTACAAAGAAATCTTGTAAAGGCAACAAAAGACGCCGCCCAATGCAAAAGGAAATCAATGACAATTCGTTAAATGCCCCATACTATTGCCACTGGCCACATCCAAGCAGCGATTGAAGTAACTTCAAGCGTTGCCCGGCCTGCTCCCTGCTGTCTTATCAGTTGAGCCAGCTACTGCTGCTGCTGCTGCCGCTGCTCGCTCTCTTAAAGCTCACGCCTGCGCAGTGCGCGTGCCATCTTATCAGGTCCGGCGCTTATCAGTGACTATTGAAATTGTTTATTGGGTATTGTAGCTATTTGCTGACTGTCGATGGGCAGCTTAACGAGTTTTCCATAATTTAACAGATAATGAAGGCTTAGCTTCAAGATTTTCATCTGGCAGTGACTACTGAGTCGGTTGGCTTTTGTTGCCACCTGTCGGCATATCAAGTGCCAACTTGTCGAGTGATTGAGAAACTAATGAAAATGCGATTGGGCACTCGAAACAAGTGAAATAGGCGTTTAGCTGAGCCGTAGGCTGCTGCAGCAATCTCTAATGAGAACGTAAAGTAAACAAGCTAGGACTTGAGTCTCGGAGAGCTAGGGCGAAAGCCAAGCAGAAGCTGCATACTGTAGTGTGTGAGCCGGGTGGGAGGGGGGTAGGGAGGGTGAGCAAAGATGCTGCGCGATAAAACGAAATAAAAGAATCATAAATTCAATTTGATTTAAGATTTATTGCATGTGAGTTGCGTCCATTCGATTGTCGAACAGTCAAACAGTCAACGTTAAGGCAAAAGCTTTCGTTTTGCTAAGTCCTTGCCAGCAGAGGCACGCACACACACGCACACATTCGCTCTCTCGCTCTGTCTCTAGTCTTTCTCTCCCTCTCACGCTCGGCTCTCTGATTGCTTTTATATGCTGGAAGCAGCGCACGAATCAACTCAGTCGATGACAGTCGGCCAGGCACGCAAGTCGCTTCAGCCAGCGCTTCAGCAGTAGCAGCAGCAGCATTAACAGCAGCAGCATTAACAGCAGCCGTTAAAGTCACCGTTCAAGTCGTGTCGTTTGACAAGCTTTATCAGCAGCTTAACCGTTACTTTTGGCTCGTGTTTCGCAAGCGTCGCTTTGAAACGGCAAATATTGCTTAAAGTCGCGCGTCGCCATTTTTTAAACGCTTTTGTGCTTTTTATGTTGCATATTTAAATTTACATTTCTTACGCATTTTTCTTTTCTCTGCTCGATTCGCGTTCTTCCTTTGGCAACTATTTCCCGCGCGCATTAACGACGATAAGATTGAGAACAAGAGCTTCAAAAGTACAATAAATTAATACAGGACATTGTGTACAAAGGTTTCGCGTCTACAAAGCGTAAATATATATAAAAAGTAACTTGAAAATAACAAAATAATAATGTTGTGGGTTTTGTCTGTGCACATTTGAGATACAAGTGGGATAGATTTGGCATTAAGATGAAATCATAAAATGAGCGTTAAGTAAATAGGAATGTTAAAATGTGTTTAAGAAGAATCTGTAATAAGTATTAGTCATTCGATTTGATACTATCCGCTATTTATCTAATCTAATCGCATTAATTCTCTGTAATGCTTCTAACGGTTGTACCCATTCAAGCGCAGTAAAAATTTATTACATATATTTAGCCTAATATGCATGCGAAGCTCTGCATAAAAGGCAAACATTATTAGCTGATGTGCTCAAGGAGACAAACAAGCAGCGACAGATTTTCCCTTTGCTGCCAGCGATTTTCATTATCCTTCGCACAATGGCAACGCACACATGCGTGCGAGCGACTTTCATATGAATGCAAATACCAGTTGTTCGGATTGGCTGAGCACAATTGTTAAGGGATTTATGGCTGGATGTTGTTTGGACATAACTAGCTAAACGTGATATGTAAAATTTGTTTGTGATTCTCAGCTAATTGTGTGTCCACTTGTATGAAAAGCAAAGGAAGTTTTTTTCGGTGCTTTGGGTTCTGGCATTGCCAAGCAATTTGCCAATCGTTGCCAAGATTGAAACGTGCCAACTGTGCAAATAGTCAATCAATAGCCAATTCTCTTACTGTTCTGCAGCTGTGCCTGTTTGTGTTTGCTTAGCTGGCCAGGTGATAAGCAAACAGCGTACTCAAGTGATAACCACAACCCTTTGTGTGCGAATTGAAACTCCCAACTGCTGACACCTGTTCCGAGCCAAGTCCTGGGCCATTGCGTGCGCCACCGTCGCTTCCTTTGCTTTGCGGCTAATGGAGAGATAAAAGTTGCTACGTGTGGTAAATGTTAAAAAAGCCAGAGAAAAGGCTGACTGACGACTATAAATGTTGCCCGAACCTGAGCCCTGTCTGTGGGTTTTACGCATAAATTATTTATTCATTAGCTGTCGCTCGGCTTTTGTGTGCATCGTTAAAATTTCACCTGGCTTGATGTGCGGCGGCGTTTACCAGTTTTCAGGCTCAGCTACGGTTGACGAACTACACAGGTTTTTCAAAATGAGCTGCATTCATTTTACCTTAATGCAGACGAATGAAACTTTTGCTTGCCACGCCCACATGCACAAATCTTCATAGAAAAAAAAAAAAAAAACCGCCCTCATATGCTCATATGACTGCGCGTTCTCAGTAACCTTATGCCTCACCAAATACAAAGAAAAATGGTAAGCGGCAAACGTTTGCCTGGGAGTGGGTTGTGGCCGTGGCAATGTTTCCGTTTAGTTTTCTGATTATTTCCGGTGCGCTGCGCTTTTTCATTACTAGCAAAAAGAAATTATTATAATTTTGCGCATTGGCATTGGCCGCACGTTGCGTAAGCTCAACTTTCAAAGCCGCCCACCCAAATTTAATAAGCGCCTGCAGCACATGAGCTAATCCGTTTTTGTTATATATGTATATGGTATATGGTATTTTGTTTTGGCGGGGGCAAGGACTGTGTGAATTTCCGGCGAGTTGCCACGCAATCTAACGCCAGTTGCAACATTTGCCTCCGCTGTCGTGCAATATGAAACTAAATAGAAATATAAAGCAACTTTTTCACTATATCAACTTGATGGCTGCCAAGCAAAAAACTTTGCTGCCAACAGCCTGCCGCTGGCGAAGGCATTGTCAGATTTGGGAGATGGGCGTCGACATGCCCACTACTTTAAATTATATTTCGTTTTTAGACGGCGCGGCGCTAATGAGTTCGCTGATTAAAGCGTAATAAGCCCTCTATAACCAAGCCTCGATTCTTGTTGCTCTCACACATTCCTTTAAAATTACAAAGTAGCTGCCTGCCTGCCAGCAGCTAAGTCTCTTAATTGAATTCCTGACACTTTGTTAATCGTGAGTAATTGAAAACAGCGGCGTAATTTAAAACAGGTTAAGCGCCAAATGGCAAATGTTAAGTATACGCCGAGTGTAACGCTAACTTTTGACTATGAAAACAAAAACCAATTGCTGTTCTTTTAATTAATTTTTATTTCAAGTAAATAGATGCTTTATAGAGCTGTCTTTCTTTCCTTGGAAGTGTCTAATGTAACATATTGTTTCTTTGGCTCAGAATCAGAAAAGTTTTCAAATCAAAAACTATAGAGCTGACAAGTATGTACTCGTATGAAAAAAGCAACTTGAAAATATACCTTAAGAATCAAATATATTGTTTATAGATCGATTCCCATTGAGCTAGATGTGTTAGAGTGTCCAATGTTGATGCGATTTGGCTCATATGTGAGGACCCGAGTGAAGCTCGTTAATGCAAAAATTGATTGAGGTTTCTGCGAAAAGCAAAATGTGCATTAATATAGCATAAGCATATAGTTATATTTTCCAATATAAATTCCTGTATGGCATGCTTGTGCTTGTTAGACATACAACACCTGTCAAAGATGAGAGCTCACAGAAGTCATGAATGTTTTATTTATTCATTATAATTTATGCATTAACTGACCTGAAGCACTTCTCGGAATTGCATTTCCGTTTTGTATTTAGCTTTTTTTCTTTGGAAAAGTTCAGTTTTACAGTTATGAACGAATGTGTCTCATATTCAGCAATAAATATTTATATTTTCATTATAAGCCCGAGTTCAAATATTTTATGCATGCACATTATTGACTTATAAGCAAAGCGGCGATGCTCTATAATGTCAAAACCAAATTGAAAACATTTTGACAATTGCTTACATATTTATAGTCCAGTGCGATTCCATTACTCAAGCAATCCAATCAATTACACCTCGAGATGCTCAAATCCTGTCCAATTTCAGGACTAAATCATAGCACTGCAATTGACCAAAACTGACAGCCGTACAGGCCGAAACTTGTTCAGCATTGTGGCAGCCAAGTTGGCCAAGTTAGGCCAGGAGTTGGCCGAGCATAAGAAGTCCATAGATAATAAAACAGCAGCATTGCCAATTTCAATAAAACTCGTTTATGTGCGTGGCCGAAAAAGTTTCGGGCCAAATGAAATATTAATAGCCTCGAATTATGCCCGCGGTAGTGGAGTCAACTGGATAAGTTATAATTACAATGCGAAATTGCTATAAAACAAACTAAAAAAAAAAAGAAAAAGAAAATGAAACTGCTTTAATTTAATTTTCATAAAATGAATCATGAATTTGCCCGCAGACAGTTTCAAACGAGAAACTATACAAAAGTCGCTAATAAATTAATAATGCAAATGCAATACACATTAAATTTATAACTCATTTGAATTTCAACAATTTTGCAAATTAAATGTGACAGAAACACAGACACATCATAAAATATGCCAATTTGTAAATACGTCGTTTCGAATATCCTACATAGATACAAATTACATAAGCAAACATTGACTAATAATATATTTAGATTGATTATAATATATCAGTGTATCGCTTCTCTAACTTCTTAACTGAGAGTTTGGCGATAGAGTAGCAGATGGAAAAGTAGAAAATAACAAGATCGTTCCCAAGCTTAATAATGGGGCTACAAATTCTTGTCTTACAGATTTGTTGCTTTGCTTAAAAAGAAAGGAAAGGTAGTCAAGTTAAGTTGGCTAACATGCGCTGTAGAGCATTTGCCAGTCATATTTCTTCGACTGCAGCATTGCCACTTATTTAGGCTGTTTCAATGTTGGCTCAAATGGGCTGCTATGCATAACCAGCGGCCATTTGTGCGGCAGTCAGTACTGGATTGATACCTAATGTTAATGTCATTTACTCAAGAATTTCATCAATCTTGGATCGGAAAGCGGTCAGGCGGTTGGCGTTGTCTTTTTGACTACCAACGCCTGGCATATCTTTTGTAATGTATACAGTATATACAACAAAGTCTTTTTGTCGCATTTGCGTAATCTTTAAAGCATCTGCATAAGGCAAAAGTGAAAGCGAAGCATGCAACAGGACAGAACAATGCTGGCGGCAAGTGAAGGTTTGGGGCAAGGACTTTGTGTCGAGGTTAAGTTAGTTACAAGGAGTAGATATATCACTCTCTCTCTCTCTCTCTCTTTCTCTTTCTCTATCTCTATATTTCATTCACTCTCTCCTCCAGACGTGCGTTTAAGAACTAAGACAAAAGATTTCTGCCGAGTTCAAGCTTAAGTGTAGTCAGTGGCGGAAATACTTATGACACACACACACACACACACACACACACACACACACCTGACATCGTTTGCTAAAAAAAATCAGAAATATTCGCCGACTGCTGAATGCTAGCGGCTTTGCCGCAGTACTGACTAAACAAGTGCAATTATTTTAATGCACTTTTGACTTTTGACATTGCAAGACAACAGCTGCTGCTGCCTCAGTTGCAGCAGCAGCAGCAACAACAACAACAACAACAACGCGTAGCACAATCTTAAAGCACTTATGAAGCATTTATGCTGCCATTGTGTGTCTACACGCGCTGAGCCGCCCATCGGGGGGCGACACTTGGCGGCGTCGCCTCAAGGTCAGCAGCGCAATCAACGCTGCTGAACTTGCCCCAAAAGCTATGCCCCTTAATACGTACGCAATTACGCCATATTTACACTGGGGCAATGCAATTTTCTTTCTAATTTGACGGTAGTTTTTGCACACTTTAAATCCAAGTTTTTTTTTTGCGCCTCTCGCTATTGACACAAATTGAATTTGTGCTGGCACAAACAGTTTACAACGTCACCCGCAGCTGCTGATATCGATATCTGTGCCTTTTGGGATGGATTCACCATTTGATGGCATCACCAGACATGGACTATGCCCTCAACTACCAACTCCAGCTCCATTGGCGGCGTTTTGGTCTAAGCATTCAGCCAGCATAAACAAATTTCTGCCAATGTGCGCATAAAACTTACGAAATTGCAAAATGTATTTTATTTGTTCGCTCGGAGAATTGGGGTGTGTATTGTTTTATTTTCGATACCCTTGTGGAGGGTACAATAGTTTTCTCACTAAAAGTGTAACGCATAGAAGCAGATGTCTTCGACATAATATACATCGATGTCAACAGTCGAGTTAATCTAGAGCAAATGCTTATCAGCATCAGACTAATATATCGTATAATTCAACTGAACATTCAATTCAAAACTAGCTTGTTCTTAAGATATCTTCAGCAAACATATCGGACTGCTATATTATATGATATGGCTGTTATATGTAAAATCAGTCTTTAAATAAGAATTGGCTTAAAATCTGTTTTAAGCCCACCAGAATATTTATTCTTCGGCGTGCCGCACTTAGCCTTTTTTTCATGTTTTGGTATATTTTGTTATTTTTTTTTTTTTTTTTGGCGTCGTCCTCTTGGGTGACGTGCTGTCATGTTGGCGCTGTCTGGCCGCCTTGTTGTGTTGTTTCGCGTTGCCTTCAAAGCCAGCTGCTGCTGTTGCTGGGGAAGCGCTAATTTAATTAAGACCCATAGACAAAACCGACAGGCGATATGTGTCAGTGAAATGTGCTGTAAGCGTCTTTCTCTCTGTCTAAGATCTTGTGCTTGGGCTGGCCGTAAAAGTTCTTTCTGCTCGTTATTCTTCGGGCGCATGTGTCAGCACAATAAGCAAGTATGAATACTTTTTAGGTTTATTATCGTTTGTTATAAAACAACAAGCGCCAAAGGGCCAATATATTACGTATACGCACTGCTTGCATTGCATTTTCTTATAAGCGTGTATAGATATTGCTTGCTTTACCTGTGTAAGCTGCAAATAAACTGGCAAATAGACTTATTGCAATGTAATCGAAACTGGCAAACACTCTGTCCCTACTCGCTTTATCACAATGCTGGCTTTATGATGTAGCTGAATTTAAAGTTCTTAAGAGCAGAACGCTCGCCTGCAAACTGTGGCGCATCAATTATGCAGCCGGTACATTTATCACACAGCAGGAGCCATTTAGTTGGGGTGGGCCGGACAGTAAGTGCTGCCGTTTTCATTAATATTAATTGACCAATTCAAAAGGAACAGACGAAAGGGACAGGGCAGGCAAAAACAAAAAGCTCACAAGTTCAAACTATGCCTGGCTTATTTATAACATTTAACTTCCGCGCGCCACACGCACAAGGAAAACAGCAGAGAAGAGAGCATAAAAAACAAATTTACGTGCCAAGGCAAAGGCTGTGTAAAAAACAAGCACATAAATAACGACAAGGCATTAAACCAACGCCTGGGCAACAAAAAGAAATAATGCCAAAATATGTAAAAAGCGCGACGCCTTGCCAAATCGCAGGACCTGCCCGGAACAGCAGGCCCGCATAACAAATTGTGTAACGCCGCCCCAATTAATTAATATGTGCGCCCATCGACAAATATGCGGGGACCCGACATCAGTTCTGTATTGAGCTAGAAACTTGAATGATACTTTGCCCTTTGCTCGTTTGAAATTGAAATTCGAAATGTTTTCGCTGTGCAGTTCGAAATGTCTGTCAAGAGATTTGCCCAGCTGCCCGGCGTGCCAATAGTTCCGGGCAAACATTCAATTGAAAATTTTGTCTCTTTTTATTATATTTTGTATTTTCATTTTAGTTTTTCCCCGTTTTGTTTTGTTTTTTTTTTTTTTTTTCCCCCTTCTTCGTTGACTGTCAGCAGCTGTGACCCTTTGCTGCTGTCGGGCTGCATTAGTTTTTATGCTTCATTCCTGTGAAAAACTTTTCCGAACTATGTTTTTCTTTCAGTTTGTCATTTGTTTTTTGAGTTTTTTTTTGTATATTGCAGTTTTTTCTATTGTTCATCTTGTTGTTGTGCTGTAGCCTTTCCCCTTTGGCCAAATGTCAGCGTTATTTTCATTTGTGTCAAACATTTTATATTACTAGCTGGTTTTTACCCGGACTTGCGCCGTCCAAGTTTTTTGCTCTACACACAATTTGCCCATAATTTCCAACGTTTGAAAATCTAAATATTAACTAATAGCAACTAGCTCTTACTTTTTCTTGTGCCTAGATAACGAACCAATTCGTTAGACAGGATAAACAGTCTTATATATAGAAACTTGTCTTCATTTAGAAAATAATGAATATGTTTAGAGTAATTTTTGAAAACTTTTATTTGCCTTTTCATATTAGTTTTTGCGCTTATGTTTCTTTTGTTTTCTGTGAAGCTAAAAGCTTTCTTTTATTAAAAGAAATTGTTCTCCTAATGCACACTGAAAAAGTTTTTTACATGAGTGCATGTTCATCAGCTCATAATGCAATTACTTCTGCAGACTTTTATTACTTTTTACCCTATCCAACAAAGAAATACCCCTTTTTTTTTTTAAAAAAAAAAGCAGGTATTTTTAATTGAGTTTGTCAAGTTATGTTTGGCGATAATTGAGTTCTCCTGCCGAGTGCGCTTGCCCCGCTCTGCAGGAAATTAAGCGAGTGGCCTCTGTGTCAATTATTGCAAGGAGTGCTTGCACAAATTAGATAATATTGTAGTATATAGCATTATTGTTGGCTCAGTTAAGCAGGTTAATAGGCACTTCATATTGCATCCTGCTGACAGTAAATGCAACATGGCACAAATGTGATCTAAGGACACAAAGCAACACACTCACAGGTAGACACTAGACACTTGTATTGAGAACTACATTAATCAAATGTCAAAAGCAAACACACACACACACACAAGCAGATAGAGGCACACACATTAACAGACGCCACACGCTCGCTATTATCGGTTGAGATTTTTGTCAAATTTCCACTTGTGCGCCTCCTGATGGAGGAGCGTCAGGACACACTTAAGCACACACACATAGTGCACTTTGTTTCTGCACAATGCGAAGAACAGAGAGGCATGACAAGTTTTGGGCTGTCCACAAGCTGTCAGAGTGCGTAGTGTTAGGGGTTGGATGATTGGAGACCGGAAGCAGGCGGCAGATTTTACGCACAGTCGAGCGACTGATAGGCAGTCCTTGGAATTTATGGTATGCAATTTGTTTTGGGCCGCCCGCAGCAATGTGAGGGCATATATCAATGCCGAGCAGAGGGCACGGAATCGGGCAGTTATGACAAGTGATTGGGCAATGGGTACGCTCTTTGGTTAGTCCCCACGGATGATCTCAACTGTGCACAAACAAAACGGGGCATCAAACAAAAAAAATTAATAAAAGGGTAGCACAGAGAAATATACATAAATCTCTGTATCTCACACAGCAATTAACTGGGAATAGAGGCAACAAATTGCCTGAACGCTTGAATCCAGCACAGGACAACAGGCTTTCGTTGAGGCAGACGTTTGCCATTTAGACGCCCGAATGAGTAACAGCGCCATGGTGGCCGTGGCCATTTGCTGCATCTTGGTGCTGCTGGCGGTATTCATTGTGATCATCATAGTGGTTGGGCAGCAGTTCGAGGAGCCCAAGTGAGACATGCTCCAGCTGGGACCTGGCAACTTCCCAGATGGATAACAGAGACCTCCAAATTGTTAGTTGCGGTCAACACAATTGCCGGGGCAGATACCAGCGCCAACCACAACAACAATACCAATAAACAAAACAGCATGAAGATGAAGATCAAGTTGAATCAGTTTACCGCCGTCGCCGAACGATGCCAGAATCATCACACGAATCACACCTACAATCCAATGTCACCCAACATGAAGAGATACAGAAAAGGGAAAGACAGAGAGAGAGAGAGAGAGAGAGAGAGAGAGTGCGACAGCGATTTTAAATGAAAGAGAAAGCATCCCATCGTCAGTACCCATTGGCTGTGATGTGAAATTATTAGAAATATGTGGAATAAAAAATTATTAAAATTTTGATCATTCCTCACGCCGAAACACATCTATAAGTAGCTGTTAACCTTGTGTGTCTGTTAAATGTTATTATGAACAAGCAAGAATATAAAACCTATATACCCATATACATTATATGTATATATATGTATATATATATATACTAGTGTGTAACCCAACCCCGTCGTAACATCGCGATTTTATACAAGTGTTGTTATCAAATTTTTATTGATGTTTTATTGATGTTGCATACAACTTATATACACATAGACACACACACACACACACACACACACACACAAGCAGACAAGCGAAATAAATTTACATTAACTTTAAAGTCTCAATTGACAACCAAGCCAAAGTCCAAGCACGCAACATGTGGCCAGGCTGTTTAAAACGGCAGCGCGGCTTAAAACGCGCGTATTTCGACGCGCCACAGACAAAGACGCAGGAAAAGGAACGGATATTGCAACCAAGGAGCTCAAGAAGTCGGCTAAGACCTGACGTTGCTCTAGGAAACTCGAAAAAAAAAACAAACATGATTGAAATATTTTTGAGAAACGGATATGGGTATCTAAGCATCGCACTTGTTAAAAGCAGCAAAAAGATACGGAATAAGGAATGCGGATCAGGAATCAAGCTGTTGGCCTAGTTCTAGTAAATGATATGCATTTTATATATCAAATAACTTTTGGATAAGTTTTATGTGTGTGTTAAAACTCAAATATATTAATATATATATATATAAAAATTTACATGTGTGTATGCAATATAATATAAATACAAAACACATATGGTTACATGTACGTAATTACTTAGCTTTCTATGTGTACTACAGAGTTATGAAACAAAGAGTTACAAACCAATGAGATTATGTCTATAACCGATTCAATACGATAATTCAATTTAAATAATATTAAACAATGAACACTTGATTTAATAAATTCAAAGTAAATACATTTATTGCAAAACGTACGCGCGCTGTAAACAAATATAATATGAAAATAAATTAATCGAGTAAACTCAACTCAACTACAACTCGTTTTCATTACTCGCTCAAAAATAAAATTCATCAATTTCAATCGCTTTCAAACGCTGCGTCCATAATAAGGGTAAGCACGACCGACACTCGTTTAACCACAATAAAGTGCAATTATTAAATTTATTTGACTAGTGGTTTAAATGGAGAACTCTCAATGCTGCCACTGTCAGCTATGCCCCCTCCAGCTGCATATGCAACATCCAATAAATTGTGCAACGTGCGGCAGCTCCCTTGACAACCACATCGTCGGGAATCGCCACACGCTTGCCGCTTTGTGGTGCAATTGTCAGACATGCTGCCAATGGTTGTTCAGTAAAGTGCACAAACGTGCAAACGAAATGCAAAGAGAAAGGGGAAAAATTATATATATAAAAAAAAAACAAATTCAATTTCAATGCTCAAGTTTTTGACGGCACGCAATTTAGAGAGCGTTGCAGTGCTCAGGTGTTTGCGGTAGCTGTGCACCATGCAGTTTCGCTGCATGCTGCAACACACCTGAACAAGCAAAGCACACATACACACACACACACACACATGCAAATTGGGAGCTGATGTTGCCCCGGCCACAGCTTTATAAATTGCCAATGCCAAAGAAGCACCATAAAAATCTCCAGTTGGTGCCAGGACAGTAGTAGGGCAACAACATAGACGCAATAAAATTTTATTAGTGCAGGTCCTGTCAATGATTCTCGCCTAGCCAGTTGATTAAAATGGAAACGTGGCTCGGTTCGGGAATGCGTCATATCTCCCCGGAGTTATGTCGTTTTGGAGTTATGTCGTTTTGGAGTTATGTCGTTTTGGAACGTCATATCTCCGAGCGGAGTTATGTCGTTTTGGAACGTCATATCTCCGCGCGGAGTTGTGTCGTTTTGGAACGTCACATCTCCGCGGGGAGTTATGTCGTTTTGGAACGTCATATCTCCCCGTGGAGTTATGTCGTTTTGGAGTTATGTCGTTTTGGAACGTCATATCTCCCCGTGGAGTTATGTCGTTTTGGAGTTATGTCGTTTTGAAACGTCATATCTTCGCGCGGAGCTTTGTCGTTTTGGAACGTCATATCTTCGCGCGGAGTTATGTCGTTTTGGAACATCATATCTCCGCGCGGAGTTGTGTCGTTTTGGAACGTCACATCTCCGCGCGGAGTTGTGTCGTTTTGGAGCGTCATATCTCCGCGCGGAGTTATGTCGTTTTGGAACATCATATCTCCGCGCGGAGTTGTGTCGTTTTGGAACGTCACATCTCCGCGCGGAGTTGTGTCGTTTTGGAGCGTCATATCTCCGCGCGGAGTTATGTCGTTTTGGAACATCATATCTCCGCGCGGAGTTGTGTCGTTTTGGAACGTCACATCTCCGCGCGGAGTTGTGTCGTTTTGGAGCGTCATATCTCCGCGCGGAGTTATGTCGTTTTGGAACATCATATCTCCGCGCGGAGTTGTGTCGTTTTGGAACGTCACATCTCCGCGCGGAGTTGTGTCGTTTTGGAGCGTCATATCTCCGCGCGGAGTTATGTCGTTTTGGAACATCATATCTCCGCGCGGAGTTGTGTCGTTTTGGAACGTCACATCTCCGCGCGGAGTTGTGTCGTTTTGGAGCGTCATATCTCCGCGCGGAGTTATGTCGTTTTGGAACATCATATCTCCGCGCGGAGTTGTGTCGTTTTGGAACGTCACATCTCCGCGCGGAGTTATGTCGTTTTGGAACGTCATATCTTCGCGCGGAGTTATGTCGTTTTGGAGCGTCATATCTTCGCGCGGAGTTATGTCGTTTTGGAGCGTCATATCTCCGCGCGGAGTTATGTCGTTTTGGAACATCATATCTCCGCGCGGAGTTATGTCGTTTTGGAACATCATATCTTCGCGCGGAGTTATGTCGTTTTGGAGCGTCATATCTCCGCGCGGAGTTATGTCGTTTTGGAACATCATATCTCCGCGCGGTGTTATGACGTTCCAAAACGACATAACTCCAAAACGACATAACTCCACGGGGAGATATGACGTTCCAAAACGAAATAACTATGTCATGAAGTCATATCTCCCCATGGAGTTATGTCGTTTTGGAGTTATGTCGTTTTGGATCAACATATCTCCGCGCAGAGTTATGTCGTTTTGGAACGTCATATCTCCCCGTGGAGTTATGTCGTCTTGGAGCTATGTCGTTTTGGAACGTCATATCTCCCCGTGGAGTTTTGTCGTTCTGGAGTTATATCTCCCCGTGGAGCTATGTCGTTTTGGGACGTCATATCTCCCCGTGGAGTTATGTCGTTTTGGAGCTATGTCGTTTTGGAACGTCATATCTCCGCGCGCAGTTATGTCGTTTTGGAACGTCATATCTCCGCGCATAGTTATGTCGTTTTGGAACATCATATCTCCGCGCGGAGATATGACGTTTCAAAACGACATAACTCCAAAACGACATAACTCCACGGGGAGATATGACGTTCCAAAACGACATAACTCCCCGCGGAGATGTGACGTTCCAAAACGACACAACTCCGCGCGGAGATATGACGTTCCAAAACGACATAACTCCGCGCGGAGATATGACGCTCCAAAACGACATAACTCCGCGCGAAGATATGACGTTCCAAAACGACATAACTCCGCGCGGAGATATGACGTTCCAAAACGACATAACTCCAAAACGACATAACTCCACGGGGAGATATGACGTTCCAAAACGACATAACTCCCCGCGGAGATGTGACGTTCCAAAACGACACAACTCCGCGCGGAGATATGATGTTCCAAAACGACATAACTCCGCGCGGAGATATGACGCTCCAAAACGACATAACTCCGCGCGAAGATATGACGCTCCAAAACGACATAACTCCGCGCGAAGATATGACGTTCCAAAACGACATAGCTCCGCGCGAAGATATGACGTTTCAAAACGACATAACTCCAAAACGACATAACTCCACGGGGAGATATGACGTTCCAAAACGACATAACTCCAAAACGACATAACTCCACGGGGAGATATGACGTTCCAAAACGACATAACTCCCCGCGGAGATGTGACGTTCCAAAACGACACAACTCCGCGCGGAGATATGATGTTCCAAAACGACATAACTCCGCGCGGAGATATGACGCTCCAAAACGACATAACTCCGCGCGAAGATATGACGTTCCAAAACGACATAACTCCGCGCGGAGATATGACGTTCCAAAACGACATAACTCCGCGCGGAGATATGACGTTCCAAAACGACATAACTCCACGGGGAAATATGACGTTCCAAAACGACACAACTCCGCGCGGAGATATGATGTTCCAAAACGACATAACTCCGCGCGGAGATATGATGTTCCAAAACGACATAACTCCGCGGGGAGATATGACGTTTCAAAACGACATAACTCCCCGCGGAGATATGACGTTCCAAAACGACATAACTCCCCGCGGAGTTATGTCGTTTTGGAACATCATATCTCCGCGCGGAGTTATGTCGTTTTGGAACATCATATCTCCGCGCGGAGTTGTGTCGTTTTGGAACGTCATATTTCCCCGTGGAGTTATGTCTTTTTGGAACGTCATATCTCCGCGCGGAGTTATGTCGTTTTGGAACGTCATATCTTCGCGCGGAGTTATGTCGTTTTGGAGCGTCATATCTCCGCGCGGAGTTATGTCGTTTTGGAACATCATATCTCCGCGCGGAGTTGTGTCGTTTTGGAACGTCACATCTCCGCGGGGAGTTATGTCGTTTTGGAACGTCATATCTCCCCGTGGAGTTATGTCGTTTTGGAGTTATGTCGTTTTGGAACGTCATATCTCCGCGCGGAGTTATGTCGTTTTGGAACGTCATATCTCCGCGCGGAGTTATGTCGTTTTGGAACGTCATATCTTCGCGCGGAGTTATGTCGTTTTGGAGCGTCATATCTCCGCGCGGAATTATGTCGTTTTGGAACATCATATCTCCGCGCGGAGTTGTGTCGTTTTGGAACGTCACATCTCCGCGCGGAGTTGTGTCGTTTTGGAACGTCATATCTCCGCGGGGAGTTATGTCGTTTTGGAGCGTCATATCTCCCCGTGGAGTTATGTCGTTTTGGAGTTATATCTCCCCGTGGAGCTATTTTCACAACCCAACCGTTAAGCTGATCCAGAAAAACAATTTGAGTGCCCTGACCCTAATAAAAATGAGTTTACAGGATATGAGGGTTTTGTGTAAATATATGTAACACACAGAGGGAATCATCTTTCCGATTCAATCTAGCAATAGAGATCCTCTTATGGTATATACTCATATTTATAACAACTGACTGTTTGTTGGGACTGACAGCTTGAAAAGCTAGGAGCAAATTTAAGATCGCTTTTCGAGAATGATTTTCAAAGTAATATAAATAGAATTCTTTACGAATTAAATATTTTTTAGTAATAATTAGCCAAAGGCTTACTCGCAGACTTACAAATGGTTTCGGTTAGACGCTACGTGTACCCGTATCTATTAATAGCAGCCGGTGGCTTCTTGTTCCATAGAGAAACAATCACAACCTATTTATTATATTTGCTCCTGTTCATCGTTTATGTGACACATAAATTGAAAGACTACGTCTTCTCTG